ATTGCATGCGATTTAATTTGTAAGCTAAGGCTGAAAGTGCCAAACGTGTGGTACGCTTAGCGACAGTTGCCTCAAATCTGATGCGAAAGCATGGCCTCCTAGTCGAATTTTTTTTAAGCTGTAGTTCTATTAGTTATAGTATACTAGTATCTAGACTGTGTTGGGTGTTCGGTTCCAACTAAGGCTTTGCAGACCGGATACTGGATAAAATAGCTGGCTGTGGTCGATCTGACAAAAGGAAAACAAATGCATTGAGAAACCTGTCTACACTTATTCAGCGCTGGGCAAGGACACTACCTTTGGAGCCAACCTTGGTACCAACCAAAGTGAGGCTAGTTCGGGGGCGTGGCCTGGAAGCTGAAATACAGTTCCCTGTTATAATGCCCAGCACCTGGTTTTCCTTCTTACTCGAGAACCACCCCAAAGTATTGCTCGGCGGGCATCAGCTACACCAGGTTAAGAAGTGGCAGAGCATGTTCCGTGAACTTTGGGAGCGGCTTCATATCATTGAGCATGACAATTGCTCTCTGGATGATGATTATTCTGACTGTTGCAGAATACCAATCATGATACATGGTGACGAAGGAAGAGGCCGCAACAAAAGCCCATTGATGGTGATATCAGTGCAACCTTTAGTGGGCTGGCGGGGACCAAACCATCTCAATATGTCTTCGAAACTTTGCTACAATGGCCTTTCCAGAAACCGAGACCGCAAGCCTCGTATATGATATTAAGTTACTAGCCTTGAACCCAGGCATTCTATGACGACAAGATTACTTTTCACAGTGGTTCCCTCGCGGATGTATGCCAAAGAGCAAACCCTGGATACTCTCCATCGTGCCTTGGCCGACGATCTCCTGAAGCTCCACAACGAAGGCCTCGAAGTGGCTGGCAGCTTCAGTGGTTTGGGGTTGAACCTAAATCTTTTAAACTTTTGAAGACTATAATCTATAGTGCTACCTACACCTATATGGGTACGAGCATAAGACTTATTCCCGAGAGTTTAGATCACTGTCCCATAAGGGTTCAACCCTATATCTTAAATTAGGTTCGAGTTGGCTCGCAACTTCGAAAGTTCCGCTTCACCACCATTTATATCAAGGGGGATTGGCCTTATTTGCGTAAGAGCATGCACCTTCAAACCGGCTTTACTTCGAAAAGGGTCTGCCACCTTTGTCCCGCTCGAGAAACCCGGCTGGTTTCAGTGGTTTTGTACAATGTCGATCATATTATGTAGCGGGTCGTAGGTAGCTTGCCCAAACCCAGATTTAATAATATAATACTAATACCCTAAACCCCTAGGATTGGTTCGATGTTGGCCCCAACGGCTCGACAAGATCCTGGCGCAGGGAGGATGTTGCCCCGAGCCCATATTGGCCCCAATTATACTCTCACCTTCGACAGTTGCCTTGGTCACGGAATCCTCGGTGGATTTGTCCCGATCTTGCACACACATATGCCATCGCGGGGTGGGGGAAGCAATTCGTTGGCAGCGCAATTATTTTACTGCTTCGGATCGGACACTTCGGACATGCCAAACTTGATGACTGTCTGGACACAGCATATGATCGCTTTCGCGGTTGGTGTCGAAGGCACAAGAAAAGTACCAGCATCAGTGACTTTTCTCTCGGGACCTTCAAAGTGGACTCGTGCCTTAGAGGCAACCCGCCCCTAAACCCTAAGCCCTGAGCCCCTAAGCCCCGAGCCCTACCCGAGACCCTAAAACCAAAGCCTCTTACAAGAAAACCGAAGCCCAAGCCCTGAACCTTAAACCCAGGCTCCAGAAATTTCCGCATGGATGCGGAAAAGGCTTTGACTGTGCATTGCTGGGCAGCTGGCTGCTCGAAGAATGCGAAGGGGTGGCCGAGACCTCGTTTGCGACTAGGCTACAGGTATCTTTATATTTTCTATTGTATATACATTCTGGTCTATAGTAGATGATCGGGCCAGGGGCTGTCGTTTCAGATGTGTAAGGATGCGCAGTACCATCAGATCTTTGCTTTGCTTCGATGGACGACCCAAGCTGTTAATCATCACTTCCGGATATTGTACGCTGGGGCGATATGGCTGCCCGGGGTCGATGCCAAAGCTGCCATACAAACCGGTTTCTCAATGCTGGTCACTTAATTATACTCAGCAAATTTTCGGAAGTAGGGAGGTAGCTCTTGATAATTTGATACTGGTCAAGTCTCCCATTCTTGCTAGGGTGTGATGCTTCGATACCGAGGAAGGCTTCGGGATGCTTGCCAGTGAGGCAACGAAAAAATTCGGCTGGGCACTGTTTCGGGTGACACCCAAACTGCATATGGCTCTCCACATAGTGTCACTTGGTTCCCATGGTTCGTTTTGTTTAACCGTGGTAGCGTTGGACCTTGTAAGCAAACCTAAACCATCTAAACCCTAAACCCGGCCTAATGCACCATAAAGCCACGCAGGATGGAGATGAAGTACAACTACGACGACTCCCGTGGAGCTTTCTGCTTGAATCCACTGAGTTTCTCGACCGCAAATACAAGCCGCTATCTTTGAAAAGATTGACTTTTATTGTGCAAAAACCTAGGCATGAGCACATGGGCAGACGAAGACTACATCGGCCGCATCGCCCGGACGAGCCGTCGTATGCACACGTTCACAGTTGTCTTTCAAACTTTGAACAGGTCGCTGATGAATTACAGGATTCAACTGCGAGAAGCAGGTTTGTAGTTGGATCTGGGCACCCCGGCACTTTCGAAGTCGTCGAAAAAGTCGACGATGAGCTTCAGCAGTGCTTGTGCACAAGTGCATGTGTGTGATTACGCTAACCAGCAACTCTATCGAGCACTTTCTCTTGAATGCGAGCGCTTCTCTGCAATTCGTAAGGATAACCGGATCTACGTAGCAGAAATTATTCGTTACACTTATTTGTGTTACGAAGCAGGGTCCAGGTAGGATGACCCGTGGTCCTTTCCGAAGGGTTGCTGCACCACCACCCCAAGCCCTAGCATACGTGATCTGTAATTCCAAGCAAATCCTAAAGCCCCTTAGCCTTAACTCTTAACTCTACTACACTACACCTTAAAACAGCTCCAAACCCCAAGAAACCGCGACGCCCTAAACCCCAAACTCTGCTACACTTTAGCGTGTATGAGAGGCGGCAGCCCAAGGCGGTGGTGCCGTGGGGCGGCTGCCGCCGCTTTCTCAGGGATTTCTGGGACTCTTAAGGAGCTTGAAAGACAGAGATGGATCTGTGTATGTCTGTATGTAGCGTGTACATATTCCATAAGAGAGAGAGAGAGAGAGAGAGAGAGAGAGAGAGAGAGAGAGAGAGAGAGAGAGAGAGAGAGAGAGATGTCTATGATACATCCATGCATCCATCAATCCATCCATGCCTGCCTGCATGCATGCCTGGCTGTCTATCAGTCAGTCCGTTTGTCAGCCTGTCTGTCTGTGTGTCTGTGTCTGGCTGTGTCCCTCTGTGTCTGTCTGTGTCCCTGTGTCTGTCTGTGTCCCTCTGAGTCCCTTTGTGCCTGTCTGTGTCTGTGTCTCTGTCTGTATGTACGTTCGTAGGTAGGTATGTATGTGTGTCTATCTATATACATGTCCATGTACATATGTACATATGTATACACGTATACTCCTTTGTTTTCATGCATGCACGCATGCATGTGTACCCGAATACATCGATGTATCGATGTACTATGCGTATGCGGTACCCATGCGTAATATACAGACGTGTGTACAATTGTGTATATACATACACACATTCATGTGCGTGTGCTAGGTTGTGGCTCGATGCATGTTCGTGCCTGCCTGGCCCCGGTATCAAGCAGTGCTTGAACGACCGAGGTCCGCCAGCAATTTCTTGGCGTATAGCACCTCGCAGCACTAAGACAATGTCCTAGCTGTTATAGAGGGGTCAAGCAGTTTGGGGTGTCAGGAAAGCTTGGCTAGACTATACCCTTCAACGGATTCGTTCTAACAAAATCCTGCTCTTGCACCTGGAAGCAGCGAAGGTTACTCCTTCAGTTCGAACCCGCAGCTGCTCGCGCAAGTGACTTTTGCTGCAAGAACGGGTGCGGTCACCGGAGGGGCAGCTATGAGCATGAACGAGCTGCGGGAAACAGTCATTTTGAATGCTGCGCCAACGAAACCATTAATCACTATGTGCGCACGAATCGCTTGAGTCAACCTGCCTGACTGGAAGCGAGTCCCTGCCGCGGTGGGACATGAACGGGGCAGCTTGGGAACAGGGCTAACTCGACGCGAGCCTCAGGCGAACACTCCGCAAGCCTTCAATCCTTTGCAACATGCAGCTTGGCCGCAGCGGTGTGGGGGGGGGGCGGGAAATTGCTGCATCGTAGGGCCGACGGATTCTCAACTGCTGCATACGCCCCGGGTTGTTGCACCTGCTTTCCCTTGCTAGACCCTGAACAGGTTGATCCGGTGAAATGGCTGCAAGCGCTGCAGTCCAACCCGGATCCTACCTCCTGCTACCCAGAGTCCATGGTGCCTCGGACAGACTCATGGCCGAGGCATTCCGTTGCGCTCCGCTCCATGGACAGAATCCTGTACACAAAAAATGCTTGAACCCTAAGTCACTAGGGACAGCTTCCCCATGGAGCAAAGTCTTACAGGCCCCAAACTTTAACGCCCCAATTCATGAAAAGAGGCATGATCTTTCAATGCACAAACACCACAAAGAACTCCAACGACCTTCTTGATCAGGTTGGTCTTCCCTCCCTGGAGCAGCGCTTGCAGCAACAGCAGAAAGCGGGGCACTTAGAAGTCTCTTGGGAAAGCAGTACGACTCTTCGCAGTGTAACCGGCCATCTAATTCCCTACGAAGAAGATGTTCATGTTGAGTTAGCTCGCTGAGCATGGCTGATTGAGGATGGTTGGATCATGTTTGCTCTTTTCCGGCCATGGAAGAGTCCCAGGCTCTTGTTAGGTCAGCGAAACTCTCTGCGAACTCGCAGCGAAGTTCAGAGCTCAGATCGTGGCTCCTCCCCCGATCCGCGGCCATGTGCTTCCGCGGGGTTTTGCTCGGCGCCTGCGTGGCGTGGCTCTGCCAAGCCGCATCTTTGAGCCCGTTGTACCAGTATGCCTTCCAGGCGAGGACATTCCAGGAGGCGACTTTCACATCCACTGCAGAAGCAGTGGTGCTCAGTGGGCGAAACCCCCGGGAGTGTTCGGACCAGCTGGACTTCACGGATGCAAGCGTGTCCTTCGTGGCCTTGGCACTTACAGACAAAGGGCAAGGATGCTTTGGTCAAGCGGCATACTCCAACGGTGACTTTCCAATCGTGATGGGTACCGTGCAGCTAGGAGAAGACACCTTCGATGCCTTCGAAATCCAGCCACCGCAATCCTCGGCTGAGCAGTTTGTGGCGAGTGGTCAACAACTCTACATCCGCTTGTCCAACACGTCATCCGACTACAGGCTCTACCTTTTGGAGAACGGTGTTCTGATCCCGATGGCACAGCTAAAGTCCGATGTCACCAATACCTTTGTCCCAACCGGCATGGCAGTAGAAGGATTGTCCACAGCGGCTGTCTATCTGGTTCTGCCTGCGAGTCGTTCGCTACCGGCTCCGGCCAAAAGGATCTTGTCAGGACATGGTGTGACGGAGTGTGCCGAAACCTTCCCCGAGGCTGAGACATTCGGAGACATCTCGCTGGTCACCATGAAGTCGAACAGTGGATCCTGCTGGAAGGACTTGCGGTACTCGAACACCGACTACACAGTCGAGATCGGGGAGCTTGCAGGTTCCGATGGGAATTCCTTCACAGCCTATCGCATCTCACCACCTGCTGTTACGGCCACGCAGTTCACTGCCAGTGGAACCCAGCTCTACATCAGGCAAGCCACGGCAGGGCCCACGAATATTTGGACTTTCATGGAGGCCAGTGGCTTCAGCCTTGTGGACACAATGAATGCGGCTCAGACTTACAACAAAACTTCAGTTCGGGTGGATCAACTCTCCGAACCCATGCTGGTCATCCTCCAGCCCACCAGTGCTCGTGTGAGTATTTGGCCCTTGGAAGCCACCGAGGTTGAAGCCGCATGGCTCGGAGGCAAAGGGGCTTGGATCCCTACAGTAGTCCCTATATACTATTAGTACATGCTGATATTATTATACGATTATATTTTTGTGTGTTTATATGATTATATTACCATCTTGTTATATATTCCCCAATAAAAGTCTCCGTAATCCATAATCCATTCCCCCCTTCCCTACTAACCAGACAGGCAAAGCAGATGGAAGCTTCAGCCTAACTGCACGGAGGTTTGCCGTGCCGGGTCAACCCTTCCAGCCGGACAAAGACTGGAGCCTTAGGGGTACTTAGAAATAATTTTAATTTTTGGTTATTATAATCCCTAAGAAGCAGCTAAAATTATAATTTTTGCTGGGGTTCTAAGTTCAGTATAGGAGCTACGGGCCTGGCACTCACACCGGCAACTACGGCACCTACAAGCGCTTTTTCGTTGTCACACACGCTGACGGCCGGGAAGGCGTAGTTTGGCAGGACTTTGCGGGTGAGGCTGTGAAGTTGACATGGCTGGCGGCGGACTACCTATCTTCGCAGACTATTCAGCTGTCCCCACTATCATCAACGATCTTCGTTGGGGCAGTGGGGGATGCGCAGGGAAACGTGGTTCTTCTGTTGGGTGCTGCAGGCTCTCCAGAGGACAAGACCGCAACCAGCTCTGCGGAGGTTGTGAAGTACGACGCTGCCGGTACTGAGCTCCTCAGGGTGGCTCTGCCTACAACGGACCTGGATATTTACGCTTTCTCCTCCTCTGGTGCTTCCTTTGCCTGGGACTTGGGCTCGGGCACCATTGCTGTATCTTTGGCCAGGACCATGACGCGAGCCAGCGATGGCTTGAATCACCAAGGGGGCATTGCCTTCGTGCTGGACGCTACCACTCTCCAGATGATCACGAACTATGGCCAAACCTCAGGCCATTCCTTCGCAAACTCCCTGACGGTGTCCCAGAAGGATGGCTGGTACATTGGCAAAGATTTGGGGGACAACTACCCTCGTGGAATCAACCTCTGGGAGCTGAAGGCGACGTCCCGGTCATGGAAGAAGCGGTTGGTGTACGCCTTCAAAACAAAGCATGGCACCAGCGAGACAAGTCCCGCTGGTACAGCATATCCCCGCTATGACGAAATCTCCACGAGCGACCAGACGTATTACAAGTGGAGCAACGACAACTACGTCTACACAGAGTTGGCACACCCTGGGCTCCATGAGATCAATGACACCGTTCTCGTCTTCTTTGCCGGTGAGTCCCCGCCCCTCGATAATGCTGTCGTAGGTCAGGCACTGAACGTTGCCCGGAATGTGGGATTCGTGAAGATCCCACGGGATCTGAGCAGCGAAGCAGTGCTGTCGCCTGGTGCCAACGAAACCGGCGGATTCTACACCTTTGGCGGTGGTTGGTCTGACCAGATGAATCGTGGAGTCAGCTTTCTTACATCCAAAACCGAGGTGGCTGACTCTGTCAGCCGACTGAAGACCGCACAGCTCGGTGGAGCCGTCCTTCTCTTCTGGGAAGTATGGTCCCGGACCGCTTACAACAAAAGCGAATGCATGATCGTCGACACGAATGGTGCGGTGCTACAGAGCCAGACCTCCTTGGCCTACCCCGTCATGCTACCCTTCGCCGATGATGTCGTTGTAATCAATGGCAAGGCGGTTGCTTATGCCGGATCGCCAGAGCAGCAGCTCGTCCGCTTCGAGTTTTGCCATCAAGGATGTGATTCACCGAGGGCCACGAGCACCACGAACGGAAGCCCAGGAGGCGGTGAACCCGGAGGAGACGGTGAACCCGGGGGCGGAGAGCAGGGCGGAGATGGCGATGCATCTGATGCATCTGCAGCTGCTTCTCGCGTAAGGCTGTGTGCTGCATTCTTGACTGCAGTGACTCTGGCCCTGTCTTGAAGACAGCGGGCTGAAGAAGCTTGCAGGCTCCGATGCACCAGCCATGACAATTTGTTTTCGGTCTTTTGAAACAGCCTTTGTCACGAGTTGTGACTGTGATAGCTCCCTTTCAAAGCATTCAAAGACAGCTGAAAGTAAACCATCGCAAAATCAACCGCCACGTCTCACCGATGGCTCGAGATCCACGGCACCAGCGGCACGCTACTCTTGTTTTGCTGCAGTGCTGTCTCTGCACACAAGCATGAACGTTGCACACCGGTTGTACTTTCAGCATTTGTCCTGCGCAATCTGTGCCCAGGCGGTTGAGGACATGGGATCTGCCTTGGAGGACTTCCGTGGGAGGAAGAGGGGAGTTTTTAGCATTGCAACATCTCTGCAACGTCCTTTCCCCACCACTACTTGCTCCATCACCATATGCTTCATCACCGTGATGTCTATCCGAAGCCCTGAGAGCGTAAACGCTAGTAGCCCATTATAAAAACTCATGAGTAAGCGGGTGGGAAAATCAGTGGCTTTTCAACATCATCCGGAGTTGCTTCATTTTGGCTGAAGCCGTTTTTCCCGTTAAACTCTCAAACCTTCCAGACGTCGCCGCTCGGGCGTTAAGCGGCCATGCAGCGTGTTGCTGCAATCCTGGCTATCTGCCACGTGTGTGCGTGGGGTGAGCAGGATGGGAGAAAGTCCACAACCTCCACACCGAGCCTGCGGCCCACGAAGGTGGACGATGCAGCAAGGACTTGCGAGGATGAGTTTGGATCTTTCGTCCGAAAGTTCAAGAAGCACTACGACTCTCCGGAAGAGGAGGAGATGAGGATGAATATCTTTTGCGACCGCTTGGCATGGATCAAGAAGAGAAACGGCGAGAACCACAAGTACACTGTGGGCATAACGCCTTTCGCAGACCTGAGTCCGGATGAGTTTCGGTCCACTTACGGTATATCGGCAAAGTACAGGAATGCCAACATCTCTGAAATTTGGGGAGGCCTGGAGGAAGTCAACGACCCCTCGTTTTTCCGGTCCACGGCAGCTCCAAGTTCGGTCGACTGGCGCAAAGAGGGTGCCGTGTCGGCTGTCCAGGATCAGGGGAAGTGCGGCTCCTGTTGGACCTTTGCCACAACCGGTGCGCTGGAAGGCGCCCACTAAACCCCAAAACCTAAACCTCTAAAGCCTAAACCCAAAACCCCTAAACCCCTAAACCCTAAACCGCTGGAAGGCGCCTGGAAGTTGGCCGGCGGATCGCTATACGTGCTGTCGTCCCAGCAGCTCCTGGACTGTGCTGACGAAAATTACGGAAACCTGGGATGCGACGGCGGAAACGAGAAGAGGGGCTATGAATACATCACGGACGAAGGGCTCTGCCAGGCTCAGGACTACAGCTACAAGGCGGTGCAAAGTGAATGCCAAGCCTCCAACTGTACCCAGGTGATCCCCCCAGGAGGGGTGCTTCGGGCGATTTCAGTTGAGCAAGACGAGAATGGACTGATGCAGGCAGTGGCCCAACAGCCGGTTGCGGTCAACATCGATGGGGAAAGTTTGGTGTTCCAGTTGTACACAGGTGGAATCATTAGTGGAGCCTGTGGTACCAAGATTGACCACGCAGTCCTCATCGTTGGCTACGGAACCGATCAAGGAACGCCGTACTGGATCATCAAGAACTCGTGGGGCACCCAATGGGGAGAAGATGGATTCGGCCGTATCCAACGTGGTGTCAATGGCACAGGTGAGTGTGGGATCCGCTCACAGGCGGTCTACCCGGTTGTGACCACATCACCAACACCACCATCACCACCACCACAGCCAACACCACCATCGCCAACATCACCACCAGTGACGCCGGGAACCTGGGATCCGCACACCACCTCCATCGTCGCCATTTCCTTAGCAGTATTGATGAGCTGCTGTGCCGTTGGTTTTTGCGTCCAAGCAGTGCGCAAGCACCGCGCTGGACGAGAGCCACTACTAGGGAGCTCTCCTCCCATCGTGCAGGCCACTCCAGTGGCCACAGCTCCAGCTCGTCCAACGAGACGGATCACCGCAGACGGTCGGCTGGTCGAAGATCAGGCCGGGCGTTGAGCAGATCATAGCTAGCACACATTGGGCGGAGGCTTTCCGTACGCTTGGTGCGAGCCTTCGCCCGGCAAGCCTTTTCCCGCGTTCGACCCTCAAACCTCAAGAGGGTACGCACTACGCAGACAGAGTTTTATGTTATGGCATCAGGTGAGATCAGATGTATACTATATGCCGCAATGCGTCCTATGTTTCACTTGGTTTTTTACTATCCTCACAGTCTAATTAATGATCTTTCCTGGTCCACTGGTTTCTGTAGCTTCAGTGGAGACCTTTGGAAGCCGTGCCTGCGTTGAGCGAGTGTGCGAGTCGAAACCCTCAACAGACCTCGAACCATACGCCTCGCCTGGATGGTCCGGTTGTGAGCGCCGAAACCCTAAACCCTCACCGATCCGTCGCAAGTTTCTCAAGCTGCCAGAGCTCAAAGCCGAAGGAGCTTCGAACTGGAATGGGAAATCTGAAGCACCACCTGCAGGCTCGGCCAGGGCTGTAGGGCTTCTTGGAGACATCAGGATTTGGCCGTCCTTGAGCTTCGAGGTTCAAGCCGTTTAGGGTTTGCAGGCTTCCTGTGCATAGTGGCATAGTGCGTGCCTGGATGGTCTTCGAGTATTGGAGCTCACGAGGTTGACGATGCGTACTATCTATGTATATACATACATACATATATATATATATATATGTATGTAGAAGCCTAAGTAATTACCGACATAATGTCGTAGGTTCCTTATTATACTCGCAAAAGCATTTTTCTAGTTGGCCCCTACAGTCTTCTACCAGCAGCACTTCTCCGCCCAGCTGCGGAAGTTCCCTAGTGAAAGCGCCAGCGTTCGAAAGTCTCAGATGAGAGTCGCGAGTCGCGAGTGTGTGATGATGTGAGTTGTGCCAGACCAGGCGCAAAGCTTGCAGAAGTTGGAGGACGCGATTCTTTGAGCTTCCGCAGTGGCCAGCCTCTGACCTTGTGCAGGAATGAACGAACTGCCGATATGGCAAGCTCAGGTGGCATGCGAGTGTATCTACACAGATAGAGAGATAGACAGGCACTTGTTTGTCTGTGGGTGGGTTCGCGCGGGTCGCGCTTCTGACCTTGCGAGTTGATACGGGATGATGGAGATGGCCTCTGTAGTCTGACTGCCTGCCGGCGGGTTCTGTTGCTTCCATATCATATAGATCCTCTGTCCTCCGCCCCCCATGCGATCATTTTTTTCTGGGCCTTAGCTTTACAGCGAAATGTGAGGTGACGTGTTTTGTTTCGAGTACAGCATGCAGCTTCCGTGAGCCCGTGCGGGGTACCTAGACCTAAACATCCGAGAGCATCCAGCGTCTGTGTATATATATATATATATATGTGTGTGTGTGTGTGTGTGTATGTACCCCCCGCCCCCAAGAACTAAAGCGAGGCGCCACGATACCGCCACGAATCCTCCTACGTTTAGGTTTCTGGTGTATGATCCGGGGTTGAATTGAAGTTCCGACGGGAGAGCATATGTATGATGGCAGCCGCCTTCATTCTCAATTCTTTGCGACCCTTCACAATTTCACGCAGATACTCCTAAGGATGATTAACGATGAAAGTTTCTGTCTGAATACCCGAAGATCAATATGGGCCCGAAAAGTAACTTCCAAGCTAGCCTGCAGTGTTGTCTCAGATCAAAGCCCCCGCAATACGTATGAACGACCCTGAGCCTTGATTGACTCCCATATCCCTACGACTAACCCTGCCATGAAACCTTACATTGGCACCAATGGTGACAGTAGTACTATCTTGCATGTCCTCGGGAAAAAAGATGCCTTGTAGATCAACGTCTTAGATCGTGTGGGTTAACATGCTATGCCGACTAGTCACCCCTTTATACATCCCCAAGTTTTCCGACCTCTAACTCTAACCCATCCCGGTGTTAATGCCCATATTCACCTGAAGGTTAACACGGAAATATTCATCAGCCGGATTGCCACCCCGATAGTAAGGATACTGCAGTCCCCTTGACAACCCCAGTATGGAACCAGACTCCAAAGTGCACCGTACTCGCAAAATTAAGATCGAGCTTAAGACCTTTCCCATCGGAAGCCTTCGTAATTTACCGCAACCCAATTTAATGGCCTAAAACCCAGACAATTGGCCTCACCAACAGGTTAGCCAATCCAGATGTAGCTGTGGTATCCCTAGCATGAGCATTCTAGATTCCCGAAGTTTAAAATCATGGCATCCCCAATACAAGTTCCGGTTACACTCATACAAGTACAGTAAGCTAAAGACTGCCCAAACATTTACTTCAACAGTCGACGTCATATTCATGCTAATAATAAACAAGACAAAACGGGTTCCACTAAAAGCCCCGAGCCTTGCTGTGTTCGCTCTGGTGTTAGCCAGATGATGGCCTTTAGATTTTTTTGGGGTTTTGAAATCATGTGTTTGTTTACATGAACATTTACATTGTATATGGCACACCCCTCTCACGGTACTATATGATCATGCTGGATTTGCCCGTATGCGTGTATGTACATGTCTGTGCGTGCATGCACATACTACCTCTAAGGTTATAAACGTGTATTACATACCGGCATAATGACGAGGATCGTCAACTGACTCCTAATTCCACACAACATTAACCCCAACCCTATCCTTGTCACTCGCAGTTAGATCAATGGTGACCGTAATATTCGCCCTGACAGCAGCCCTAAGGTCATCTAGAGTAGCCTTTGCGCCACCTGAAATTTGATCCCAATGTTTCTCTCTTGAATTCGCAACCAAGTGGTAGCTGTAAGAACCCTGAAATCCGGGAAACTTGCGCTACTAGATCCGAATAATGTCCTGGCTATTACCCAGTCTACTGTATAGTACTGACGCTGAGCGGAATCGAATCGCAATAGTGATGAACTGGGACCTTATAACGCGCACAAACACCGCATGAAATACACACTCTTTGCAGGAAAAACGATTTCTTTGGACACGATGCGGCAAAACTCTTCAACGGAAAACCAAATTTTTCAGATGAAAAAGATTGTTTCCGGAGAAAAACCAGCTTTTTTCCTGGGGAAAAGATTGTTTTCGTAAGGAAAGCCAATCCTTTCTTAGGAAAAAATTGGTTTTGGGCAGAAAAACAAACTTTTCGCAGGGGAAAACTGTTTTGGGCGTGAAAACCATATTTTGCATAGGAAAAACAAAAGAACATCTTTTTGGAGTCTGGCAGGATTGGTTTTCAAAAGTTGTTTGTGCTTTTCCGAGGGCAAAGTTGGTTTTGCTTTCCAAAAGCCATGTTTTCCTTGGACAAAGTCGTTTATTCACGCCAAAACCATCTTTTGAGAGTTTTGTCGCATCGTGTCTCAAAGTATGTAGGTTTTTGTTGGTGGTTTTCCCTTGGAAAAGTTGGCGTGCTCACGTCGAACCTGAAGGTAGAAGAGCATAGTGTTGCCGTTGACTACATGCTCACGTCGAACGTGACTGACACGTTCTTTTGAAATGCGAGTTTGATTTCGGTAGTCTTTGAGAGAGACAGAATCTTGACCTTCCGGAATAGTTTGTTATGTGCAGTATTCACGACAAAAGACGAGGGTCGGCAGTTCTTGGGGGTTACCATAGAATATATTATATATATACACATACATATACATATTGTGTGTGTGCTATAGGAATGTTATGGAGTATATGGTCTTTGTTTGTGAGCTCGAGTTCCAGGAGTGCAGACAACGACAGCAGCGACTGCAGCGTCAACTGCTACAAGCGCTCGGACTGAATTTTGCATGTAATGGGCACAGTCAATTGACGGATCCTCGGTCCCCGCACAGATGTAGCAGCTGTCGCAAGCCATGGGCAACTTCGATCCCGTCTGCACTCTCGTTGCTTGAATCACATGAACCTGCCTTTCGGGTCATACCATGCTCAAGCTCGCATGAGTGGAACTCATCCCTTCGCGTTCGCTTGTTTGGGGGGCCTTGTCCGGACATCCTGGAGTGGCTGAGTGGTGCCCTGCCACCTTTGAGCGCAGCTTTCAAGCAGGCAAGCATGCCGTTGCCACCCTCGTTGTCTTTGCTGGCCAAACGCCCGGCCGCTGGCGTTGTCCCGAGGTCGTGGTCGCCTTAGAGCGTCGCGCCTTGCACACTGGGGCAGCGCAGCGCAAGCCGCGCGACGAGGCCTCTACCACAAACGGGAGTGTGCTTTGGACTTGGAGTTTAGCGAATAGGCACCGATTCTGCATTCAGGATACAGATTCTAGATTGAACGTTTCAGGGGTGAAGTTTATCCTACAGATAGGATGCCATTCTCACCTGTCTAGGCTTTCCTACCCGCCCGCAGGGCTGTCAGATCCCGCCACCCTCGGTCTTGACTGCACCATCATCACATACCACGGTAGTTGGCCCTTGTTATGGTTGCCACCGATGTGGTTTTCAGTACTGCTGATTGATGTTGCCAGTGCGGCTCGTCGTCGTCGCACGGATCGGGCTTTCACTTCGACCCACAGCATTGACATGTTGCTGATGATTTTGATAACGGCAAGGAGACCATTAGTGCTAAGTGTGTTCATGGAGAGTTTGGTAAGAAAGCTTGAAGACAACGAAGTGCGTTGTCCGTAGAAGTTCCTGAATATCTTGAGAACGATGGGGCCCACGAGCATTAGAACTGTAATTCATGCGGCGGCTGCTTTTTCTCCAAAGCTTTCCCCTCCTCCCACTACCAATTCTAGTTGTTCTGCCCCTGCTGCGACTGCTACGACCACCCACCACTAGCCTGGCGAAATTTGTCCGAATGATCGTGATCCGCATGGGGAGGGAAAATAACTTCCGCAACGACTGGGGCTGTTCATGACGAGCACAACGAAGGCTATCAGTACAACTTCTGCTTTGCTCTGCCAGCACTACTACTAGCCAGTGCCACTGGTCCCAACGGCAGATGCTTGGAGAGCACGCGGTGAGAATCGAGCCAAGGCTTGTGGTTGTAATCCTCGCAGAGGGCATCCGCGTAAGTGCACCCCAAAACCCTAGTCTAATCATTAAGTCCGCTACATAAGAGTACCCTGACAGTAACCCTTATAGACCTCTTTAAGGGAACCCTATTCCAATTACCCCTATTTTACAATCGCCAGGCACAGCTCGATGCCCGCCTGGCGAAGTTAGAGGAGGCCGGGGCCGGAGGATGGCATTGACTCCGAAGTTATGCAAAGAATGCCCACTGCATCATGAGCAGTAGTCATGCAAGTCCCCTAGCAGTCATGGCAAATACGTCCGATATGTTTGAGCCTCCGAAATAGTTTTTTCAGACGAGAAAAATCCAAAGACCACGATTCCCAAGTTAAAGAGGAATATCACTGGTCACGATTTCGTTATCCATGCAGCTAGACATGCGGTTTTCCTGAGCTTGGGCATCCCGCTGTTATAGGTAGACATGAGGCAGCTCTATTCATGGAGGTGATGTTCCAGTCCCCTGCATCCGCGAGCCTACTGTAAGGTCTGCTGTGCGCCCGGGGGAGCCCGCGCACGATTGGAGGCCACCACAGTGGCAGAGCCAGTGACACGAAGACTTTCTTCTGTCTGTAGCATCCCGATGTAAGTCTAAGTATACAGGTTTCCATCAGGAGTATGGACGCTGGCTCCTGGCTCGCATCCAAGATCCCGGGCAAGAAAAGTTTCTCAGACATCAACACAGCTAAGATTGAATAACAGTGCCCTGGCTGAAGTTGAATATTCCACATTGAATCTCAATCCGCGCCGGTGCAGTGTGCGCAGAGAGTAATAATAAGTCGTCAGATACGAGTTCTAGACACGGGAACAAGCTCAAGTCGCCATCAAAGTACAAACCTGCAGCCACGCCAACTGCTTCCACAAGATGTGGTTTTTGCAAAAGCGAAATAGGCATTAGCATCATCTTGCAGACTGGTGGCTCATAAGTTTAGACAAAGTGCTTCAACCGGCAGGCTGCCCATCTTTCAGCAAAATTTCAGATTTTTTTTGCACTGACCTGAACAATTCTACCATCTCGTGGACTTCTGTCAGACACTACACGTCCATCACTAGAAAGGAGGCTCTACAGTTTCGTTGCCTTCTGGTGCTCCATTGGAAGAACCCTTTTCGAGCTCCAAGTGTTTGGTATCCTTGGGTCTGCCTGGTTGGGCTGATCTAGTCATTGTATCTTCGCGACGTCCGCTCATCTTCCACGTAATATACTCTATCAACGGACTGGAAAGCTTCGAAACGGCGCCAAAGAGGGCGTGGTAAGTTTATCGTTCTGTATCTCTACCTGTCAATATATATACATATACATGTTTATACATTATATATATATATGTCTGTATATATACATAAAAAAGTTAATCAATTATGTACGTGTTTGTATGCATATAATACACACACACTTAGATTGGACTTGTGTATATGCACGTGTATACATATAAATACATATATGTATATATATATATATATACGTATATATTTATTTATTGGTATTTTTTATAAGACTCCTGCATATACATTACATATACACAAGACACAGCAGATAATACATGACGCATGTGTGTATATATGTAGATGCATAATCATAGAGATGCAGGCATACATGCATACATACATACATACATAGCTACGTTGTCTCCCTCGCTTTCTTTTTGTCACGCAATGTCGATCTTGCACGGCGCATCCATGGCCTGAATATGCTCAGTGTGCACCTACAAGTACCACATGTGTCTAGCACTGGCGGTAAGCTAGGCTTCGCTTCGAGATGGATCTGCATAATATAGCGGCCTAAATAATTGCCCAGACTACTTTGGGGGTTCCTTATCACAATTGTAGTATAATGGGCCCCAAAACCCATTCTAATTATTAAGGCACCTATATTGTAGTACCCTTACAGTAACCCTTATAGAACCTTTTGATCGAACCCTATCCTAATTGTTACGGCACCAGAATTCACGAAGCTCTGGTGGTTTCAGTGGCTTGGCTTTCCTTGGCAGGAACTCTCCGTGCAGCTTCGGCAGCTCATACCAGGCCGAGATGAATCGGGGTTTAGGGGGTTAAGGGCCGAGGTAGGGGTTTACAAGTCCTGATGCAAAAAAGGGGTTTAGGGGTTGATGCTTGGCTGAAGGGATTCAGGGCTTGGTGCATTGCAGTCCCTGCTCAAAAAAGGGTTTGTAGGGTTTAGGGGTTTGGTTTCTTAAGGTTTGTCGGGTTCACGGCTCTTGTGTCTCCAAGCTTCCTCACTATATTGAAGTTATATCGGAGTTTCCGCAAATAGGGGACCATAATGTAGCACCCTGAATAGTAGGACGATCCTTATCAGAAGGACCCTAACATAAGGTATCCCTACTGTTGATGGACAAAATCCTGCATGACCCTTAGGACTCTAAGCTATGGGAATTATGGCATATTTTTTATAATGGGTAATGCAGGATTTAGTCCATCAGCAGTAGTTTGGGGAAACCCCCAAATACTGCGAGGGCCGGAGGCCTTGTGAAAGGATCCGCAAGTCGAGGCTTGTGGCTCGGCTCCGGCCGTAAGCACATGGGAGTTTCCGAAAATGAGGGGGTACCTTAGCTTGGGGTCCTTATAAGAACGCTCCTACTACTTAGGGTGCTATATTAGGGTCTCTGATTTTCGGAAAGTCCCACATTACGTTTCAGGTGGGTGAATTGTCAGCCAAGTTTTGTGTGAGCCGACACAGCTCAGTAAGTGGAATCATATCTTCAGAGAAACATCCCGGAATACACTTGGCACATCAAATGGAATCACCGAAACTGAGCAGAAAATCGGGCACCAAGACTGGAACCACCAGTAGTGTTGACAATTATGCTAGTGCCGAGAGTGATGGTGACAATTAGCAAGATAGTGGACCTTACCGTAACGACAGTGGCGATAGTCAAAATTCTGCGCATATCAACTCTCAGCAAGAATAGCATCCGGAATGCCAACGCCGCCGACACGAAGTTGTGGTGCCGTGCAGGGCGGTTGGATCTAGGGGAGACAGTGGTCGTTGTAGTTGTGTGGTGGAGTGGCTTGCTGCCTGCTGAAAGGACACACTAGATCTCGCCCGAGAACCACCATCCCCAAGATTGAACCGACCTTTTCCAGCCCTAAATTAACCGAAGTTTCGGTGAGAGCACACGGTATTCATAGGACGGTTGGAGCTGTGTGTTCAGAAGAAGCACGAGGCAGTCAGATCTCTGGCCTTCTCGCCGCTGACGGCGGCGGTCGCCTGGGCTTGGCATCTGATGCAGGACAAGGCTTGGCAACTGGACATCAGGGGTTCAGGCTTCGAGGGCTTTAGCGTATAGGCGTGCGAGAGTTTGCAAGCACTCCTAACCGACGAAGGATAGTCGCATAGTGAGAAGGCCGCTTTAAAAGGGCACCGTCCCTGGTTGCAAACATCTGGGCCCGGTGTTTGAAGCCTGCCAGGAAGTCCAAGCAGAGAATCAGAAAGAAGGACGCCGTTCAACTCGACATCCCGGCTCAAGCCCTTTATTAGGGGCTCTTCGCGGCTGTATGAAGTCTATGTGGAAGTGACAGGCAGGGAGGATGGTCTGCTTGCGTACAACTGGAGCAGTCGATTATGACTAAACTTGCATACACCCTTGCCCCGACAACCTTTGCCTGCAAACTAGAATAGGTTTACATGGGGTTTTAAGGTTCACGGTGGCGGGTGGCAGCTAGCCAGTTGAAACAAGGTTCTGCAATACAAAGCAGCCATGCCCTAGCTGCCTGCCATATGCTTGCCTTCTGGTCGCACACGTGGGCCCTGTCGCTGCAAGCTGCTTTGGGATCACTTGCAGTGGCCACCAGTGCGCTGAGTGGTGGGGCTACGTATCAGGATGCTGTCTGGTGGGGTGCTGCGCACCCTGACATCACTGGTTGCTGGCTTGGGAACAGGAGCTTCGAGCGGTGCTGTGTGAATTGGAACTTTCTTGAGGAGCTGCCTGGCAAGGCTTGCTGGAGTCAGGCTGACCATGCAGCATCTTATCAGGCTTGCTGCGTTCCCAAAAATGATTGGGCTCCAAGGTCCCTCTTTTCTTGTGCGGACACGGGTATTTACTGGGAGCGCTTGCGCCAAACCTTGTCGCTTTTTCGGTCCTTGACTGCACTGCAGCACTCCCCACTGAATGGCGCAGCTCCACGAGAATGCCTCATCGGGGGTGTCCTGGTCAGCTTGTTAGAACTTGTTTATGTGAGCTATGAGCTTCGCAATGCTTCCGCTCCTCGCTGGGAACATGCATACAACAAAGTGGAGAATTCAATGCGAATCCTCTTTTCCAGCCCGGTATCTTTAGAAGAAATCCTGGTATCGGGCTGGCCTTTGTTCCTCACGCTGGATTTCTTCCGCTTCGACAACCGCTTTCAAGAACTAGCCACGCAACGGCTTCCCGGCGTCTTTGCGGGTTTCCAGACCATGAAGTATAGCAACACGTTAAGTGGTGCGATCCAGGCCGAGCAGGGAAGTCGGATTGCCCTCGATGTGGTCGTGAAGCTTTCAAACAGCGTGGCCAAGGCTGCGGGCGAATCTGCTTTGGTACAGCTGATGCCAGCTTTTACCGCCCTGGTGAACTATCACAACCTTCGAAAGTTTGACCTCCCTCGTAGTGATGCCCATGACGTGCCAAGACTCGGAGCGGAAGCAAAGCGGCTGATCGAGTTTGCAGACACACAACTGAGGAGTTGGATGGCGCATTTTGGGTACACATTCTCATTGCTGATCAAGCTGGAGATTCCACTGGTGAACTTGTTGCAGGCTCTGTCGTGGCCGGGTGTGGTGATGACACAGCCGGCCGAATACTTGAAGAGCACCATACACTTTCCAGGACTTCAGCTGGCAAAGATTTTGCCAGCACACCAGGCCTGGCGTCTGCCACTGGTGGAGCAACATATTCATCCCGGCTTCGATGCTGCCAGCAACATGGTACGGACGACTTTGCAACCGATGTGCTATGCCCCTGGGTTCCTGTTTGTGATCCTGGCCACTGCGTCGCGCGTGAAAGCGGCCTGTGAGCACAGCCAGGCCGAATGTCGAGCTCGGCTGAAAGTCTGGGACGTAGGTGCCAGCTATGGGGACTGCATGCTTTGGACGGCCAGCTACTTGTTGGAAGCCTTTGTTTCAGAGCATTTGGAGCTGAGGGGTTTCGAGCCTCTCCCATCAGCAGCTGCTGCATTTCGGCGCTCCGTCCGAGCCTTGCAGCGCAGCCGAAATCTGTCTCCCTTGGCTCTGCGCTTCATCGTGGAGGAGATCGCGATGAGGGATGAAGCTGGCGAGGTGGAAATCTCCTTTCCAAGCCACTCCATGGCTCTGGCAACCTTCCACCGCTGCGAGGAGCGCTACAGTGTGGCCTCAAACAACCTCTACCACTGCATCTCGCGACCCACTCGTGCAGAGACTCTAGACAGCTACATTGCCAGCTTTCCAGAGCCCAGCTTTCCAGACCCCGTGGATGTCCTGAAGTTGCATGTGCAAGGCGATGAGCTTTCTGTGCTCCGCGGTGCCAACGCATCCCTCGCGAACGGCCGAGTGTGCCTACTGCATATGAATCTGGAGACCTTACTTCTACAGGTGGGAGTCTCCGAAAATACGGGAATCTAGTACAAGCACCCTAAGTAGTAGGATCCTTATTCTAAGGACCCCAAAATACGGTACTACTCTCGGAAACTCTCAGGTGAAGATGGAAGACCCTGCGCATTGGTTGGCCGAGGCCTTGATCTCCAATTTGAAAGGTGCAGAGCTCCTGGGTGTCTTGGTGAACTTGTGGGAGGTGAAGCCAGCCACCTTTGAGAGCATCGCGGCGGCCATCAAGTTCAAAAACCCTGATGCCGTCGCATGGAAGCCCCCCGATCCCAACAAGCGCCCTGAAGAGCTTCATTATGAGCTGGTGGCCTGGCGACCCTCCTGGCCTTGCCATGACAGCGTGGCAGTTCGGGCTGTAAGCCACATGTGGCTGCCCCACGCGACTCCGCTGTGAAAGTGGCTCTGATTCCTGGGCCACATTGCAGACCTATAATATGAATATTACTTTATTAATGCTCATTTTAGTGGTACTATCAATACATACGCACACACACACACACATATATATATATATAGAGAGAGATATAAAAGAACAACGTGTAGATACAGTGTGTGTGTATATATATATATACACGTTATGCATCACTTAAGTGTACCGTTCATGACACATAACGCATAATATATATAAAATACAGAACTCCTATAGTTTATTTCGTGAAGCATCGCCGGTGCATGGCCCCAGGGATCATGTCGCTTCGGTTCGTGAAAACGACCTTGCCGGAAGAACTGGGGTCCAGTTGAGGTGTCAGAGTTCTGGACTTTCGGAAATGTTCTCTCCCCTAAACCCTACACCACGAGACCTCATGAAGCCGTGCCTGCCTTGTGCGAGTGTGCGAGTCAAAACCGGTTCTAGACAGGTTGTATACCTACTTGCCACGTGCCCTTGGCTCTCCACGCATGTGACCTTCCCCGAATTACTTCACTGCCACAACAAAATCAGGAGCCGACAAAATCCCGACGCCCCTCAGGTTTACTTCAGACCCCGAGAGCTTTTAGTATAGAGGTTTGTTCAAGCGGGTTTTTGAAAAATGTCACGGCGCACCAAGACCCCCTGCAAAACCTTATCCAGCCTTCCCTTAAAATGCCAGCAGAACTTGAAGAGAACAAAACAGGCAAGCATCTTTACACTTACAGTCTTACAGTCAGTGTGTCTGAGAGCATATATGCATGCTTATATGCAGCCCAGTACTGCAACGAACTTTCTGTAAGATGTATGCAAAACCAGGTGTGCCAGGCAACACACGCAAGATCACACCAGGACAGGCGCAAGAGGTATTAAATGATCACTCATCGGAAGAATACCTTCGATCCGCCCCCTCAATGTATGTATGCATGGACGGAAGGATGGATGGACGGGTGGACCGATGAATTCGTGGTTGCATGTAGGAGTGTACGTATGTATGCATGTATATTGTATGATGCTTCGTTTGTTTTCTGCTTCTCTAGCCGCTCGTTGCTGTTCATTCCTGCTCTCGCAGTGGTTTGCTTTGATGCTTCTGCTGATGCATGCGTGTGTCTCTTCACCTTCGTCTCTCTTCGTCATGATTCGACACGCTTAGTCTTGCTCCTTGTTTGTCTTGTCTATTTCTCTCTCCGCTCACTCTCTCTTTGTGTCTCTGCTTCTCTCCCTCTCTCTCTCTCTCTCGCGATTTCTGTCCAAACCCTATTTCGAAGACCCTGGACCTAGCTTGGCATTGTCAGAACGAGCGCCGAAACCTTCAGAAGCCCACGCCCTTCCCGTTCGACCCGAACCAACCTCGTCTGCAGCTTTTGAGTTACGAGAGTCTCAACCCTGCGCCCTAAGCTTCGACCTCGTCAATATTCTCTGTCTTGCCCGCCCCATATATACATGCGTTATACATGTACATACACACATGTGTATATATATATATATGTATTGATTTAGGTATGCCTGCACTTGTATGTATATGTATATGTATATGTATATGTATATGTATATGTATATATATATATATATACATACATACACATATTCCTATCTAAGTCTACATCTGTCTATCCGCTCACCTATAAAAGTACATGCTTTAATCTATATGTAACCAAATACTTACAGCACAACCTGGACCCCAAAAGTATGTAGAATATGCAACAGCCTTGTATAGGTTTTGGGCCACTATTTTACCTACTTTGGGGGGTCAGGCACATCAGACTCAATTACGGAATATACCTTACGTTAGACTAGGATCCCGAGCAGCTACCGACCCGTCAAAGCACACAGCACCAGAGACCTCGTCAGGCATGTCCGAGTTGCGAGAGCGTAATACAGTGTACGGTATATTCCTTAACTACCCCATAGGCCCCAAAGTAGTTCCTCTTTCGGGTTATAGAATCATATAAGGTAGTCCCCGAAAGGAACTACTTTGGGCGTATGGGTAAAGGGTATGTACTACACAGGCGGGAGTGGCCCAGCGCAGTCTGCCGAATCCGCGGTGCTCCGCGTCACGGCCCAGCAGGGCGAACTCTTGGAGCCCTCCCGGCCGAGATTTCAAAGGGGGTTTAGGGTTTAGGGTAAATAGGGTTTAGGGCCCATGATAACGGATATTCGGTGCCTCGGTTCCTGGCATGTGCACAGTCCAGGTGTAAGAGGATACAGGGGTTTAGGGTCCAGGATAAACAAGTCCTGATGCAAAAAAGGGTCCAGGACAAAGCGGCTTTTTGGGGGGGTTAATACTGTAGCGGGCTTAATCAAGGATTATATAGCCATGCAGAAGGAGGCAAAATTCGGGAGCAACCGCTTGCGGGGTTTCATCAGGTTCTATAGGCTTCCTAGTGGGCTTTGTAGTGCACAGGGGCTTTAAACCTTCAGCACGAACAAAATACAAACTACCGGTACAAGCAAGGGCGTTAAGCATGGACTTGCCTCGGTCTCATCCCCTAAGCCTTGGAGAACGCCAAAGCGCTGAAGCCCCAAACCCTGTGGGAGTCGAGACCCTGCACCCACTCGCAAAAAAACGAGGCCCTGAAGCCCAATTCAGCACCTGTCCAGATGAAGCCCAGAGTAAGAGCCCTTAATTTGTCTGCAGATAAGGAGAACCCTTGTAAAGCCCTTTTGTGTAAACTCAGCATATAAACGCTCCTGTAGACTGCTTCAAGGAAGCCCACCTCCACGCCAGGCTCCAATATTTTTCCTTCTTAAGGGATATTGGAGTCTCTGGGTCCACGCCAGGCTCCTGGTGGAAGACCTGGCGAAGCGCCGCCGCGACGCCTCGCAGCTGGAGTTGGCGCTGGGCCTCCGAAGTCCAGATGCAGGCCATTGGTCCTTCTTGTTGCTTTCCGCGGGGCGTGTAGAGGCGTGTTTAGAAGGTTGTTGATAGGGTGCTTATATGCATGTACATTTGTATATAGGGTTCTGTGAGAGGCTTTACAAGGGTGCCGAAACAAAGGGTCGTATAGGTAGTCGAGAAGAGTTGATGTTTCTACCAGGGCTGCATACAGGCTCTCATGTCTCATGACCCTCATGTTTGTTTTGAGTTGGAAAGTCGGCGTGAAGTTATATTACCCTTTGCCAACTATCAATGCCCTGAACTACTGCAGAAACAAGGACATGGCAAAGCATCGCGAGTCAATGCTTTGTGTAAGACACCAGCGTAGAGGGCACGAAATACACAGGTTCAGCATCGGGGTTCCGGAGTGTGGGTCCGGGGATGGATGACGCCTGGACGCTGATGAGCCGGAAGCCTTGGCAGCTTTGAGCAATACAGTGGATGATGACTCAGGCGACTAGCTAGTGATCATATCCCCTTATGCTCTCTATGTAACCATACGACTATAGTATACCCACTAGGTCCCTGTGCTACCCCAATAAGCTCGAATTCGGTCGAATGTGTGCGAGGCTTGGCGACCAGCGTTCCAGCCGGCCCAGGCATACCAGTGACCAGTGGAAAAGGGTTGCGGGATTGGTATAGCCAGGTTATCGGTCATTAGGAGGAGTGAACTGGCAGCAAGACAATGCGCAACGTACTGTCCAGTGTCTTTTTGAGTTAACATAGTTCCCCGGACGCGCACTTAAAAGTCGTAGACCGCACGGCTAGAACTCGCAGGCTATCCAGGCATGCGGCCGCTCCCATAAGCTGCTCCGGTGCCCGCCATGGTCCTGCCACGGTTGCAAGATCGCTCACTGAGATAAAAAGAGACCGTGTTGGATGCAGCGGGTGTGCTGTGTTTGATGCTACTGCTTGATATTGTCTCCTGATGGTTGTTCCCACATATCAGGGCTTCCCTTTCGAATCACACAGCTCCCACACACAATCTGAACCGATCCACAGACTCCGCCTGGCAACTACTAAGGATGACTTCATCAGAAAGAATGCCAGCATGCTCAGCACGGAGGCGTGCAGCTTGCAGACAGCTGGCGAAACCCCAACAAGTCACAATCCCAATATAGAAGCCTGAATACTTACGAACGCTATTCCGACGGGTTCTCTACTCTGTAATTTTTTGTCATACTATACGCCAAAATCCCAGCTACTCGTTTTTGAAGCCTGAGTATATCTGGCTCCCGAAGCAGGGTTACTGGGTAGTATAAGGGCTTCAATAGTTACCAATATTTTTAGGGGTTCCTTACTATGACTATAGTATACTGAGCCCCAAAAGCTTATTCTAATTATTGAAGCCCCTACCTATACTAGTGCCTGAAGGTGGTGTCAGGGTTTCCCGGCCAGGCCAAAGATCTCTTCAAAAATATGGGTGCAGAAGACCAGCGTCGAGTGCTGCCAGGGCCTGAGCAACCTGAGCCTTGTGTCCCTAAGGACTCTGCTAACTAGTGTTTCAATTCCTAGTGCATCGTCATTGCAGTTGTTGTTATTACGACTAGCATTTCTTCTAGTGGCAATGCATGCATCGTTGACATTCTTCGCGGTCTTGTCCTCAAAAGCTTTCAGGTTCAATATGTGCAATTTTAGGCTTACTGGCTTACTATTCTTGAGGCGCTGCAATTACATTATGGTACTATACGATATACCCCAAGACCCTGTTCCAATCCTTGACCAAAACTTCCAAACCCGACGTGCCCGGCCGCGTCAAGTTTTGAGCTCCTTCTGTTGATGGTAAAAATCCTGCATTAAGGGCCCTAAACTATGGGAATTATGGCATATTCCTTATTATGGGTAGTGCATGATTTATATCATCAAGCTCCTTGCGTGGCGGCCTAAGGAACTCGGGCCCCTTGAACATCTACCGAGACACCATGGCCATGTTCAAGTTCCGGGTGGGCACCTCAGGTTGAGCGCATCATCGGGGCTCTTTCGGGATAAAAAAGGGCGTAAACAATTACCCATACGATTGTGACGGGTTTCTTATTATAATGATGGTAGGGTATGCCCCAAAACCACTATTCTTTTTATAACAGCCCTTATATTAGTCCTAGTGGCTGATAGGGTGTAGGCTCTATAGAAAGGGACTTAGTCGGATGCCTCACCAGCCTTCGTGTGGCACTGTTCCTCAGTTCGATTGCGTTTGGCCGAGGGCATAGGGTGGAAAGCCGCACATCTTCGATCAGGTTTAGCACCACTTTTTTTCTTGCTGTAGCACAGTCGGACCTTCATGTCGGCACAGGTGGCCATCAGCCGGGAGCGTGAACAGGAGATCGCAGACCGAAAAGGCCAGGGAAATGAAAGCAGGGCCACAACATGGATGCAGTCATCTGTGATCGCTCAGAGCTTTCAGGTGGGGCTCACCGGATGTCAGTTTTCAACACGTTTAAGCCCGATTCTCAACGCGCTCGGTGCCTTCATTGCAACTCTCACCTGCATACTGGGAATCCTGCCTCTGTGCGAGTTGTGACACCCTAGTGCTCAGTGCCGAAGGTGGCTGATAGAAGCTTTTGGAGGCCTTCCTCCCTTGCTTTCTGACACTCTCCCAAGGGTACTACCATTAAAAAAGGGTGACAATTTCAACCTGAGCTTCCAAATCCCCGATGATCTAAGCCTTAAATCCACAAACCGTAAACCCTCGTGCCTGGACTCGCGGTGTGGAAGCTCAAGGAAAACCTGAGCGTCCTAAGCCCTAGACCCTCAAGACCTTGAGCCCTCTAAGTCTAAAGCCTTAAACACTGGAATGCTGAAGAGTGGGTAGTATAGGGGCCTAAATCAGTGCCAACACTATTTTGGGCAACCCTATTCTAATTATTCAGGCCCCTACCTTAAGCACTAGAATGTTGAAGCATGGGGAAGCCTGAACGCCCGAGCCTTGCAGGTGGTGACTTCGTGGCAAAGGAGGCCTCGGAAGCCGAGGCAGGGGATGTCTTGGAGGCAAAGTTTCGGATTTAGGGCTTAGGATTTGGGGTTCAGGGTTTCGGGATAGGGTTTAGGCTGGGGATGTTTAGGGATTGCAGGCTGACTGGATGCAGACAGGGCTTGGATTCACTCAGAGCCCAGCTGCAAAGCGGTTAAGTCTGACAGGGGCCTGTAGAATTAGTCCAGTGTTCATCGCGGTCGCGCTAACGATATTGCATCTTGAGAAGTAATATTCCCTCATGGCCCTTATAGAATTCTACGATCGTTTCGAGTTTGTACGGAGTCTCTCAAGTACATCCCCAGCTGTAGCACCGAACGTTTGCACCCCTTGCATCTCCAATGACGCGTGATCTGACGCAATACTAAGTCTTCATATCTTCGTAGTTGAACTGCTATCTTGTGTTCGCGGTGGTTATGGCCCTGGCACGGTTGTCGTAATCGTTGCCAGGCTCTTTACTTCGTTGGTGCTGTCGCCTGCAACGTGCGGGAAGTGGGCATTTCACAAGCACGACGTCCGCTCCTCCGTCACAGGTAGGTGAGAACATGCAAGTAGGATTATCAGTGCCTTCAAGGCTCATGCAGGCCCCAACAGAACAAGAGCTAGGTGAAGGTTACACGAATCGTGGGTTTTGTTGTTCCAGGCGTTTTCAGATTGGCCAGCCATGGCTGCCGCTCCGCAAGATGAGCACAAGGCATCTGCAGACATGGCCACTACCACAGCCTCTGACACTTTGACATGAGGAAGAGGTAGTGCTGCAAGATGTTGCAAGTCAGGGTTCACGCATGAGACCGCATCAGTTGATGATTGCACCGCTTTCCCGTGCAGCTGCTGCAGATGCCGTTCTTGCGTAGTTCTGTTTGCTACTACTTAATTACCTATAGCCCTCAGCACATCTCTGCAGCTTTTTCGAGCCGAGGATACAGGTTCCCCTTTGCGTGAGAACTTCGACGAAGTCGTGGATGCCGACCAACCACGGGCGATCTTACTGCAGTCATCTGCAGTCCCTGGTTCAGGGTCTGGAGTTTACAGCGGTGGCAACCTTGGTGTTGCTGACTTGGGCTTTGCTGTGAGGGCTACCATAATCCTGCTGTGAGAGGTTGTACCCGGGCGATAAATCGAAGCTGCTGTGATGCTCCTATGTAATCATGTCACATAGGGTACTTGGCTGCAACGTTCCAGGCTAGGGCTTTGAGCCCTCAAGGACCAGAACCCAACCCGCGTTCAATGGTTCTTAGCTCCGGCCACAAGCTCGTATCGGCTTTGTGGGGGCTGTTGCCCTTGGATTTCGTTGAGAGTAGAGACGCGTCGTCGAGAGAGACAGAGAGAGAGAGAGAGAGAGAGAGAGAGAGAGAGAGAGAGAGAGAAAGCGAGCGTCGAAGCCTGCAATGAAAGGTAAAAGGCTCAGAGATGGTCATGAACTTGATCGTCGGAGGACCGACGTTTTTGCTTTGCTTGTGCCTGGCCATAGTCATCATAAGACAGGTGTAGGTTGAACAAAAAGGGGTTTGGGATTTAGGGTTTGCCAGTCCAGTTGTAAAGGGGTTGATCAGAGTGTGGGTTCAAAAGGGGTTTGAGACTGGTGGTCCGGCTCATCCTTCCTGCAACATGGCGGCAAGAGCCATCACCGAGGTGTGACTGTGGCGAGCCACATCTAGACTAGTAACTACTTGTAGTAATAGTAATAAAGACAGCAGTCGTAATAACAATAACAGTAGTTATCATCATCATCACAATAATGATAATCGCAACAAACATGGTTGATGGCAAGCTCCTGATGCTAGCGAGGACTGGGTACAGGCATGCTCAGCCTCCCCTGGGCCATGGCGGGCGCTTCGGTGTCCGTCGGGGTTGCTATTATCGTGCCGCTGGGCGTACCGAGTCAGTGAAGAGACCAGACCCATGTATAAGCCAAGCCTTGCAAGCCCCAAGACCTTGAACCCTGCGGTTTTTGAAAGGCACCTTATATAGGGCCCAGTTCGAAGGCCCTAAACCGCAAGCAGACATGCATCTCACTGCGAGGTTGGTCGTTGCTGTGCTACTTGGCTGTTGGCTATGCCTTTGGGAAGATGAGATTATTCAAATGAGTTTGGGATTCCTGCGCGGTGTAGCGCATGGTTTCTTCCGATTCCGCACCGGCCGAGGAACATTTGGACCATTATGATCCTCGTCGTTGGTGCAGAAAGGCGGGCGATACAAGTTTTGCAGCGTCGAAAACCCATCCCCTGAACGACTGGCGATGGAGGTACCAGGTCTACGATTTGGGAGCCCTCCTGGGGAAACTTCCCGGCCAACTCGGCCCGGGCATGCAGTGCCTTAGACAAACCACGTGAGGCCTTAAGGTATTAGAATGGATTAGGTTTGATAGGGAATGTAAGGTTGTTCGGCTCAGGGAGGTTCGGGTTCAACACAGGTAAAAGGTGTTCGGCTAAGCATCGCAGGTTTTTGCCGCGTGTGGCCTGACCCGAAGCGAGAAAATCTGGACGAACCGTGAGCCGGAGCACTTCGTTGCACGACAAGGCAAAACACACGGCCGAAGAAGCTTCTATCTCAGGTTGAACTCGTAGCTTCCTCTGGAAGCCAAGTTAGCACGATGTAAATGGGTTGAACTTCAGCTCCACAATGCCATGTGTTTTCGAAAACTTAGGGACAGTTCCATCTCCGACGCAGATGTTGAGTGTTTGTTTCTTCAAGGGGTTTTCTTCGTGGTCGGCTTACGAATTTCATCGCTTGCATGCTCCAGAGGGTCTGTATCCACGCGAAGCCCCATAGCATACATTGCTCAGGATCTTTACCAATCTCATGGTGTGGGTCGTCCTTTTCGGGTCGCTCGTCAGCTACATTATCAGCATCTGCGACTCTGCGCAGCCCTTCATTGCAGGGACCTTCTTGGAGAAGCGCACCTCGGTCGCCAGGGTTTGCGAGAAGTAGGGTTCATGTTTGGGTTTGACATTTGATGTGCGTAAAAATTGGCAAGTGTATCTTTAGATCTCCTTGTGGGAATACTCGCAGCAAAAACCCTTTAGGCTATGCAGCTATGCTCCGGCACCTTCCGGAGATATCAAGGTACTGTGAAAGGAGGCAGTAATTAGATACCTCCGTTAGAGGGGGCCTCTAGAGCCTACGTAAGAGAAGGTACTTTTTGGAGGTGGTTTTTGATTTAGGAGTGCAGAGTGGCGGGAGCCGCAACCGACAGATGCCTATCAGGATTCGATTCAAGGCCATGAGTTGTGCGACTTCCGGCGATCCAGATAGAAGAAGATCGTTGAAGCGCTGGGCTGAAACCCAAAGCCCCAAACGCAAAAAGTTGTGATCTCTTCACGCGTCCCACGCCGTTTCGACTCTCAAGCCTGAAATCCGAGTCCTGAGAGCGGTCTCAGGTTCCTTCTTACCAGTCTGAGTGGCGTTACATGGTGTTACCGTAGAGTAGCTAGGGTTTCAACCACGCCCGACATAGGTGCGAGTGCCAGCAAATCTACAAACCTTGATGAACTGCCCACGAACAAACTCGAACCCTCAGCCCAATTAAAAGCCAAACCCTCAACCCCAGAAGACAAAGTGCACCCGCAAGCAGGTTGGGCCTTGGCTGGTTTGGCCTCGATCTTGGTGATGGCTCTTTGCTTCCTAGATCAGAAGTATCTCTCTTTTTCGCCGCTCGGCAGAGGGTTTGAGGTTTAGGGGGTAGTTCCGTAGGCGCTGGCCGGCACCTTGGTCCGTGCGGAAACAGGGGATAGGACTTAGGGGTCTTGTTTTCGGTCAAGAGTTTAGGGATGTTTAGGGTGCTGGTCGGAGGGTTTGGGGCTACAGGGGCTGAATGGTTCATACGGCTTCTTTTGACGATGTTTTGAAAGGGTTCTGAAGGGCTGCTGTAGAGGATGGTGTAGTCGTTCAGGAGACGGGGATCACGCCCAACTGCTATTGTGTCTGGTCGAGGTGTTCCGGGTGAATGTAAAACTCCTAATCCTAGACCCCAAACCCCTAAGCTCGCCAGGCTTGTCCCAGTTGAGTGCTTAAACCCGACTCTCGTCAAGGCGTAAGTTCATCTTATCGCTGCCACGGAACTGGCCCAGGTCTGCTGCGGCGATCCTTGTCAACATGCGACGTGGTTCAGGAGTTTAGCTTTAAGCAGTTCAGGGTTTTGTTACTTTGGTTCAGCAGTTTAGGTTTCAAGACTTTCGGTTCGCGGTTTAGGGATGCTACGTGTGTTCCTGCGTGTCGGCCCAGTCAAGATGATTGGAGGTCGTGGTCTGGCTGAACTGAGCCCAGTAGTAAGCGGGGATACACTGCTTAAGATCCCATCATTTTCGTTGCGGCTCTCGCTGACCGCCCAGAGTGGGACTTTGACTTAAGAAAGTTCCGCAATTAAGGGCTCCTAAACCCTGAACTCTGGCAACAGAACCCTAGATCCTATGCGCTGAGGTATTTGTTGGGATTGGTTTGTTCCGAGTACGGGAAGCGCGCCGCTCATGGTGAGCTGCCGGCTGGCGTTTGCGGCTTTGGATTTGCAAAGGCAAGTTCAAATAAAGACGGGTCTTTGACGGTCGCTTGCTTTGCAACGGCAGGGCCTGGAACACTGAATCGGTCCTGCCTTGATTTGGCTCCGATCCTAGCAGTACTAGTATGTGCTGAGATTCTTGGGCATGCATAGCGACAGGGATCCGTGACGATGGTGAGCACGATGATGCAGAGCGTCATCATCCAGCACCTAGAGCTGCAATCGGAGAGCAGCGGCTCTAAGACTACCCGAGTTAAAAGCCCGTTACCCAAAATGTTGGTTCGTGTTTCCCTGCAGCCTATTATAAGAAGCTGGAAGCCCAATGCCTCAATTGCGGGTTGGCGTCTCAATATCCTCTACGCCCATGGTAAGTATATTCGCAATCCATGGCATGGGTAAATGGGTCCCTAGGAATACTTCTTACCTGCAATACCGCAGCATCACCCAGCCTGCAAGGATGTGTGTGCTGCCGATGTACAAGGAGCTGGAGAACAGATCACCGAGGAGGTTTGGAAGGCCCGAAGCAGAAGATCAAATCCGAACAAACAAGGACCATAAGTGTCGGAAGTTTCGGAGATCCCAGTACCACGACCCATAGAGATGTAGACTTGCAGCACAGAAGCTGGATGCAACTGAGGGTTCCAGGCAATCCGCATCCGCACCGGCCTTGCAGGGAGTTCAATAGCGCTTGCCTCTGAGACAGGCTGCTGACTGTTGCCTTCTCCGTGCTGGCGTTGATCTTCATCATTCTGGCCATGGCAGGGTACTATGCCTTCGGACCATCGGCATCTGGGCAGTGGTACTAACATTCACTTTACGTCTTAGATGACCTGTTCAGGCTTCATCATCTTCGCCAGTCATAATGGACCATTCCTTGCCGAAGGTTTTTGAGTGCCTAGGTCCTGGTCTTCAGTCCTACCTTCTCTCGACATGCTTGGCTCTTGGCAAACTGCCATCGAGCTGAGGTGGAGTCCAACCTCCTCTCCTCCCTGCCACGGACCACCGCCAACAATGTCCCGGGCCTCAGCACCCCAAGAAGATATGATATCCCAAAGAGTTCACCCTGAACCTCTAAACCCTAAGCTGCTCTAGACTAGTGGGGATCGTCCGAGGGTGAGCGCCGAAACTGCTAGGGTAGCCTACTTAGTTTCAGTCATGTTCCCACGGAGTGGGTAAGGAAAGTACGTTGATACTCTTTCCTGGATGGCCAGTGTTGAGCACGGCAGGGCCTTGCTTCCCCCGTCGACAGCATGTTATTACGGAGTCAAAGCAACAGTAGGTCAGCACGGATCCAAGTCAACAGTAGCGTACTGGGTTAAGGGTATTAACGAGATTTTCTAGGGTTTAAGGTTGAGGAGGGTTTAGAGTCCCCCAGCCAACAACATTTCCCGGCGCTCTAAACGTCTATTCGCACCAGTACAGTAGTACAGTAGCAGTACAGCAACAAGGTTTCGAGGGCTTAGGGTGGTTGAGTGGGGTTTGGTAGGAGCGGCTTGGCTGGCTCAGAAACCAACCCCAGCCTGAAAAAGTCCTTAGAAAAAGCTCCAAAGCCCTCCAAAACCCAAGCTGACATCTTGTTGGAATCGGAGAAGGCGCCAAAATCCTTCAAATCCAGGCCTGAGGCCTGTTGCAATCCTCTCCAAAGCACTCCAAATCCAAGCCCGGGGCCTGCTAAAGCATGACGACTACGGCTTCTGGTTGTCCTCTGCTGTCCTTTGCTGAGTGTGAAGAAACGAACCTGGCGGCATCCGGAGCTCATTATCATTAGCGGACGTGCCAAAATGACTCGTGTGCTGAATCAGCCCCGGCGGAGCACGCTATATACAGAGGGCAACCTAAAAACTCACGAGCCCTACTCCCTACGACCCCATAAAATAGTAGAGTCACTACGTGAAATGTAGAGCCGAATTTAACGATAAGCCTCAACATGCGGTGCAAATCCTAAGCAAAGTAATATAGGGGCCTTAGTATTTACCTATACTATTTTGGGGTTGACTATTAGTGTAATTTTAGTATCATCTACCCCATAGCTGTATTCTAATCATTGCGGCCCCTACATTATAGTACCCTGAAAGTAACCCTGATAGACCCGTTTAAAGGAACCCTATTCTAATCATTAAGGCTCCTAGGAAAAGGTAGGGCCGAATGTCGAGGTTGCCCAGGCTGGGATGATACTGACCATGGCTGCCGTCTACCCGATCATGATGATCGCTATGATCCTGGGGCTTTGAGGGTTTAGGGGTTTAGAGTTTTGTTTGGTTACAAGGGTTCCAGTGAGGTTTTTTCTACATGGATGCTGAATAGTAGTTTTCGCACACTGCAGGAAGGTTTCTAGGACACAGGGGGTCAGTTCGTTCAAGGCTTTCTTTGTAGAGCGAGAAGATGGTTTAGTGGAGTTTGACGTTGGCTTCGAGGTAACCTTTGACTCCCTCGTTCGCTCTATTTTTACAGATGCTGCCGAAGCATACATATATACAATCAAAGACATCAACTTGCATTAGGTCTATCAACCTCTTGTAGTGATTGCAGAGATAGTTCCAGTTTCTTGGCTCGCTGGCGTTTGGAACCTCAGCCAGCAGAACTGAGCTTCAGAGCGTTGGCGGACTTGCTGGCTGACACTAAGAGCCCACTGCAAAAATGGTTTAGGGTGCAGAACAGGTGCACAAAAATTGAGGTTCAGGGTGGGGAGCAGCGTGGAGTGTAGCCCTCCTTCCGTTGCTCATCGAATTGGCTGTGATGTGAGGCATGTCAGCCTCACAATGCTCTGCAAGTGCCATCAGCGAAAGTAATACTCAAGAGACTCTCTCTAGCGCGAGTGCTACAACTACTGATTGTACATGCCGAAACTCTCGCAACTGCACTCCTGCTGTTATGCTTCGGACATCTATCCTAAACGAGAAGCCTTTTTCACGTGTTCTCACCAAGGATCGCACCAGTAAAAAATCTTCCCTTGGAGCGATTTGGCTGGCAGGCGGCAGTGTTCTGTGTGGGTTCGGGGTTACGAGTGAAGTTGGTGGGCGAGTTGTTTTAATGTGGGTCTGAGCGCATGAAGGTCATTTCAAGCGACACAGAGCTCCCTGGGTTTTTGGTACACAAGCATCCACGGGTTAGCGTGTGCATGACTATTGTGCACTGGTGCAGCTGCGCCGGAGGTGTGGCCATGATGGGGTTCACCTCTGAATCTTTTGTGCGTGGCGGGACCAGCGTGGAGCCAGTGGCTCGTGCATGGTGAACTGAAAGTTTGGGTTGTTGGCAGCGGAGCTGCGCTTCAATATAGCAACTCTAAGGTGTGCTCCCACTTACAGAACCTGTATACAAAGCCTTTCGCAAAGACTTAAACCCTGAAAGCGGGGCTCCCTTAAGCCTCGCTTCATGCTCGAAGTGCAAATGGGTCCTAAGAGTCGTTTTGGCAAAAGCAATGCACAGGCATAAAACCTCCGCAAGGTATGTGGCACAAGATGAGGTCACAGAAATCCGAAGCAGAACACCTTCATCATTTCATGCGACGATCTAGTTCGTGGAAGACAAGCTTCCCTGCCTGTGGAAGCTTGTGCAGGCGCAGGCTGTTCGACGCAAGTTCATGGCAGTCCCCTAGCAGATCGTTGGGGAGGATCGGACTTCGAGGGCTTCTCGTTTCTGGGGCGCTTAGGGCATACGGGTTTCTAGGTTATGGGCCCTTGACCCACGATTCTCGAACCCACTACGCAACTTCGAAAAGTTGTCCTGGTTTGCTGCGTAGTCGTAGTGGTGGTAGTTTCATGACCGTCACGTAGCTGAAGGAAAGCCACACAGTCTTTTGTGTGCAAGTTCTGGGCGCCCCAAGTCCTTCAGAAAAGCACCAACCAATAGTGTGGTGATCTTTGCGTTCGTGAATGAAACGAGGGAACAGACCAACGATGTGTTTGTTCATTAGGCTTCGACGGGGCTTTGCCTTCCAGGTGTGGCCTTCTTGCGAGTACTTGTGTGGGACCAGAGCTGGTTGCAAATGAGGTCCGAATGTAACAGCCGCAACTATAAACATCAGCGGCGCAAACCCTACACCCTAAACCTACCCTGCAATGCGGGCTTCGTCCTTGCTAAGTAGGAGGGAAAAACTAGGTGGCAATTTGGGAAACTTTTTTATTTCCCTTATGGTTCCTATAGAGGTACCTATTCATAAATACGTTTCAGAGCCCCAAAACTACAACCCAGATAAGCTTCACACCCCAGCCGGCCCTTTCTTGTAATAAGGATCCTACTATTTGGGGTACTACATTAGGGTCCCCTATTTTCGGAAACTCCCAAGTAGGAGGGAAAAAGACCTCCCCAGGTTTCTGGATGGATTACCTTATAGGAGTCTATATATGAAGCCTAAAAAGGAACTACTTTGGGGCCTTAGGGTAGGGCCCTGGGCCGAAAGCTTCAGTACCTACCCAGGTTTCGGGACTGATCCTTTTCTTCGTGGTCGCCTCCTTCCTGGTGGCTCTGGAGGTGCGGAGCTTGGGTCCCTTGGACCAGGGCTGTTTAGAGGCTCCATAGTAGTTCCTTTTTGGGGTTCATATTTAGAATCCTATAAGGTATTCCCAAGAAGGAACTACAATGGAGCCTATGGGTAGAGATATCTTAGTGTTTTTGGGCAAAGGCATAGTTCTGAGTCTTAGGTCTTAGGGTCGGCTTAGCTTTGTGATGGATTGGCAGGTTAGCGTACGGACTGCCAAAAATTAGTAAAGGGTGTTGGGGTTTAGCATTCAGTCTTCTAAATCATTATCGTGATCAAATGGGTTTGCAATGCTTTGCATTTGTTGAATCTGTCTCTCAGTTGATGTCGAAAAAAGAGGCCGATTCCATATGCTTCACCGGCAAACCAGGAAGCCTCCACGCACCGCAGCCAAGGACTTGTGAATGTCCTGGATGGGGCGTTGTGCGTCGGAGTGTTCACAGCTTTGGCACCGGGTCTGGTGGGGCTTCTGCTGATGGACAGACTCTCGTTATTTTGAAGGAGCTTTGCGGTGTTGAATTGTTGCAAACCTTTGCTTGGCGTGTCATGGCTTCTTAGGATTCGCAGCAGTGGTCCTAGAATGTACTGTAGTCAAATTGTATCCATTAAACTGTACGCTCCACTGTAGTTGTTTCTTGTGGTTAGCCAGCTTCAGGATTAGGAGCCTTGAAAACAGAAGCCAAAGCTACCCAAAAGACTCACTAAAGAAGATGTGCTATGCGCCAGAGTTCAGGTTTGTCCACGGTCAGACTTGGAGCTCTGAAGTGCTACCTTAAGGACAGAGCTTTGCATGGAAATCCGCCATGTACCTGCTACTGGCCGGCGGCATCGCGATGAGCGTTCTGGGTCTTGTGCCGCAGCTGAGAAAGGGTGTCGCTGGCTGTGTCTGGTTTACGAGTCTGGGAATTAGGGTTCAAAGGAGCAAAGCCAGGTCAGGGGAACGGGTTGCCAGAGCTTCCAGGGGACTTCAACATCCCTCATTCCGGGATTGCCAACGCATGCCAAAAACTGATTAGAAAGTTCATAAAAGCAGGTTCCTCTATTAGCTAGCACGTATTTCAGTCGCTGCGTTGCATGGCACATGGCCACAGTGTTGCTCAAGGTCTTCACGCAGAACGAGCCGGAGAAGCTTGCGCAAGCTTGCAAGCTTCCCCACCCTGCCGATGTGAGTATTGGCATGATTCTGACAGATCTTAGAATCACAACGACATGACGCCCCTACCTGCAAGTGGCAGGGTAGTGAGGGCCGACTTCCGAGACATGTTTTGCGGCTTCGCGTCCAAACCAAGAGGCTGGTTGGGCTTCTGGAGGCACGAGGGGTCCTGTCTCACACTCTGCAACCGCGTGCGCAATGGCGCACCCAGTTGGCAAGGTCCGAAACGTAGTAAAATCGGCTGCGTCTCTTTTTACTCGGCTTCGGAGCAATGGTTTCTCCAAGATCCGACCCGAACCCAAGCCTCAAGCCTCAAGCCCTAACCGCAAAGGCTATTGTTACTTACATTCTACAGCCTTACAACCTAAACACCTGAAGCTAAGTAGGAGGGAAAAACACCTGCAGCCTTACAAGCCTACACCCCCAGCCCTAAGCCATATCCTTGCGATGTAGCAGGCAAAAAGACCCCTTAGCAAACAGTAAAGCAGGTCCAGGATTGGTGCCGAGTGAACAAGGACTACCTCGGAGAGGCGCTTCGTGACTTATAGGTTTAGGGGTGCAGGCGTTTTGTTTTTTGGGGGTTAGGGGTTTAGGGGTTTTAGTTTTAGGGTTTTGGGGTTTCATGTTGAGAAGATTTGCTTTTGGTTTGAGATCTTTTGGATTCGGGGGGTAGATGGTTTAAGATGTGGGAGTAAGCGGAGTACGGGTTCAGTGTTTGACGGTCGAGAAGATAGAGTTCAGATCCCGTCAAGGACCATGCTTCCAGAGACTTTGCAGCTTTAGCCCTGGATGAAGTTGGTGCAACATGATCTTGGTGAGACTTCCAATCGTCACCATGCATGTTTCGGCGACGACTGCCGCCACCACCAGCCCCACAACCGTGATTACCGCCACCGCAATGGAAACCGGAGCAGGCGGATTCAGACGCTGCTGATGATGTGAGGGTTGCAGGGCTTGGTCGGAAAAAATGTCTGCAATCCTGTCTTCGCAGCAAAAGCGCACGGACCATTGAAATGCCATGTGTCTTTCTCGAACAGTTGCTCAGGGAATATTAGATGATAGTATAGTTTATCATATTTCATTAAGCTAATGTTGACTATTGCAATATATGATATGCCGATATGCTATATGAACACTTGGGGAGCCAGAAGCTCAGTAGACCCGCGAACTTCTCGTCGTACAAATACAGGGAACCTTTCCTGGGTTCTTGTTAAGTAATCTCATCTCAGATACCATAATAGGGATCTGATTTCAGATACCATAATAGGGATCTGATTTTAGATACCTTTAGATACCATAATAGGGATCTGATTTTAGATACCATAATAGGGATCCGTACATTCAATCCCTTAACGAGGACCCAGTCTGCCACAGGAAGGAGTCAAGCAGCTGGACATGTTCGGACCTGCCGCCTGGGACTTGGAAACCTCTGTAGGGGTTTAGGGTATTTAGGGTTCGGGGGTTTGGGCCGTAGAGTGCCGTAGAGTGCTGGCGTTTGAAGCTTGGCTGGCCGGAAAGGGGTTAAGGTGGAAGCTGGGGTGTAAGCCAAATGGACAATTCCACAGTTCTGCACACAGCAATGACTTGAAGAGGCAGTTTTCGTCCTGCTGCACTTGCCGGAAGGGAATTGTTCGAAGTTGGCATTACGGGAACCTTGCATTCATGCGATTTTGAAGAACCGATTATTGTGTCTTGGTCACCCGGATCAGAACAGCGCCGGCACCTCAGATTGCGTGATTTGACAAAATAAAGAAGAGAGAAAGAAGTGGTGAGAAAGAAGAGTGAGAGATTGAGGGTTGAGTTGAGGTGCCAGCGTGGCAAGAATCCGGAAGGAGCAGCTGAGAGCAAAACGGTAGCCGCTGATTGCTCATCAACACCCAAACCGCTATCTGAACTCGCGGACACCTCGAGTTAGACCAAGGATCAATGGCGGATTATCTCAGAGGGCCCTGCATCTGAAAACATGGTCCGAGACTGAGCCTGGCAGCCGTGGATTGTTTCGACTCGTGCAGGGGTTTCAGAGTTAAGGATTTAGACAGCCTGGGTTCTGTCTCACCGGATGAGTCAAGCAGGAGTTCTTGTTTAGCAGGATAAGAAACGAAGGCATCAACACACAGAAGCTCCGCAATATCGGCATGAGCCATATGGACTAATTGCTGCGCAGAGGCCTCGGGCTTTCAGCTACCATGTGAGTCTCGAAAAATCTCAACGGCAACCGTCCCTAGCTGCAGTCTCCATGTCGCTTGCACACATCGACAGTAACCCTACCATAACACTCCTGCCCACATTGCTTACCCCTTTTGTTACTTGGATACGGTTGTGTTAGCTTGAGGAACGAAGGAACCCATGTTCGGCTCCCGCTGCAGGGCCTGAGGGGTTGGGATCATCACGGGGCAAATTTTAAGATAATTTTTTCGAGAGTTAAAGTGTTAAAGGGTTTTGGATGTTTCGCCTTTGGTCCAGTGGCAAAATAAAGGACTTCAGCGTCTAGGGCTTAATTGCATCGGTCACGAAGCTCAGAACCGTCTAGGAGGGTCTTTCTGGTCTTTCCTGAAGCAGCTGCAGGATTCGGTGCACATTATCCAGTCCCGGGCCAAGAGGCCCCTGGGTTCGTGGCATAGGGCGGGCCTTAGGGAGCAAGAAGGGATAGAGATGCCGCTGCGAGAAGCCTTGCCGACAGGAGTTCACTTGCTTTCGGATCCCCAGTCTGAGAGAGAGGGAGAGAGCTGTCGACTCCATCATCCTTATACCCTCAACGCCGGACTGTGACCTCATGCACACCTGGAAAGCCCGATACAGCATAAGTCACAACCCCATGTGGTGGAGCTAAAGCCCCAACACGCCTAAATCACAAAGCCCCAAGTAAGATGCTGTGGACCCGGAATGCTGGAATCCTTACTACAAAGACCCTCAAACAGTAGCCTGAATCCTAATTCACGAGTTCGGCGAGCCTTCTGCCCCTCAACCTGTGTATCGGGTGTCTTTTGGCCTTGCATTGATTTCTGAGCGGCTTAACTGGCCCCCGAGACTTGCACTTTCAGTCTTCAGTTCGGACGGCTTTCCCTGCGGTGCTGCACTGTAAGCTGGGCGGCTGGTGAAAAAACCGACAAAGCTCCACTGAATTGTAGAACTCTGAAAAGCCCTCGTGAATCGCTATCATGCTTTCTATATAACCCCTATACCACCCTTGTTATGTTAAAATCCCGAAACAAGGCCTAAACCCCAAACCATACAACTAGTCCATAAACAATAGGATCCTACATCGTAGACCGCCCATTCAAAAGGAACCCGGCTTTTAAGAATCCTCCACAGCAAGATACAACTCTACTTATAAAGCTGCCTGATAAGAAGCACCACAAAAGCAGGAGCCGCGAGATGGCGAACACCGTTGCAACGATGTTCGCACAGCGAAGGGAGTCGGCCCAGCCGAAGTTGTCCGTTTCGTGTTTTGATGCTTTTGTTTGGGGGGTGAGGGTTACAACAGGGGCCTAAATAATTACCAATACTATTTTGGGGGTTCCTTCTTTCAATTATAGTATGATGGGCCTTGTTTTGGTTTGGGGGTGGAGGTTAAGGTCTGGGAAGGGAGGGTTTTCTGTCCTGTTATGTTGCTGGTGTTGGATACCAATCTGGAGCCCAGGCACTAGATCGCTACCAAGGGATTCGTTGAGAAAGGAGCCTTTAATTCTAAGAAACCCGGCATGCATGAAAGCTCGCTCTCCCGTAGAGCTGCAGATGAACAACCGTCTGAAGGCCCTTGTCACGATGTGAAGGAACCAGTTGGTCCGTTCTTTGTGAATGGACTGGTATCCGGCAAAGGGCTAAACTTAGCTCATGTTCGCTGACATACGAAAACAACGGTTCCTGATGGACCTACTGAATCCCTGATTCGATGCCATAGGCCATCAGGACTGAAGTTTCACAAGGTTGGTTGGACGTGGGACTGCAGTGCAATCTTCAATCTACAACCCCAGAAGCAATAAGCTGAGCCCAGTTACCAAAATAGCCGAATGAATCTGCGAGCCTTCGGAAGCACGATGAAACGATGCTATCATTACACTAAACTGACACGAAAACCTGAACCATTCTGGCACACTTCCTGTTCAACACGAACACGCAAACGAACCTGGGGCAGCCCGGTCCATGCCTTCCCTAAACCCGATACCATAAGCCCTTATTGCCAACGCGCCAGGCTGGCGAACAAGACAGCCCAAGAGACCATTGTTGCAAAGGCATTGAGCATTTGAGATCATATGTATACAGATAGATAGAAGTACAGATGTGTATATATATATATATATAAACATATCTGTAGCTGGCTTGCGGCTTCAAGGCTTGCGGGTGTTTTGAGTTGAAGGTGTGCGGGTTGTAGCTTGGGGTTTGGAGCTCGGAGGGGTTTACGGTTTGGTATAGTTCGGGCCTTGAAGTTATCAAAGGTCCCGCGATGCTTCTTCTTACTTGGGATACGAACCGGGCTTTGGAGTGTTGATCATGTAGCTACAGAGGGACGATACTGGCATTTTCCTACTGTTCGTCCAGGGTCCCATATGAGTCTGGGAGGATGAGAACTTACAACAAAGTTCGTCAAGAAGCACAGTCATTGGGTTATACCTAGTCTACCACAACCAGAGCACCAGAATGTTGAACTCCAAAATGTGTGGGAAGCCGCTGTATGAGCGCGGACAGTGGAAAGGCCGCAGCGAAGCCGCTCTTCAACCCGACCATGGCCGACACTGTGCAGGTGACTCGCCTCCATGCAGTTAAGTTGTGAACCCTTCGTCTAAGGGGCCGAGGATACTGGCCTATAGGATTTGGGGCTTGGGCTGAAGCTGGACAGCAGACGTGACATGTTTTCTGCAGGCCTTCTTCAACAGAGTCGTCGGCTGCGAGGTGCACAGCGCTTCTCTTCGCATAGCTTGAACCAAGGAGTAGGATCCGACCGTAGATGGCGGTAACTTCTCGTGGCCATTCGAAGGCCTGAAACTGTCGATCTTTTCGTTCGTCTGACAGGCAAAGATGTCACAAACTCAGCAAGCCACACAGTCGGATGTACACGAGATCCTGACAACAGTTGCCCCTCGTTTTGGTTGCTTCTTTTTGGTTAATGACCTATGCCTATGCCTCTGCGTGCCAAGAGCACAAATATTCTGGAGAAGTGTGCTGCGCTGCATCAGGGACCGATAGAGTGCAGTAGGCGGACACTTTAGAATGGAAGCATGCTGCATGTGGTGCACAGCCCAGACTGGCTTTGTAGGTGCAAATTCAACATCCTCAACCGCGAATTTTGAGCATAGGGCATTGCAGCACTATTCATCTGTGGTCTCCATCTTGGAATTTGGTCGAATTTGCGTGGCGAGAACGTGTTTGAATACGCCGGAATATATACGCAGATAAACAGGTAAGCAGATGGAAGGTCCGTATGGAATCTGAACAAGCGTCTGAAAACATGATAGAGGGCTGCACCGTGACAATGCGTCAGGAACACGAAAGAAAACGCATTACTTGTGATTGCGGCTCCTGGATTACGTGCCCTAAGTTAGTCACCGCAGTGGAAGCAGGTAATGCCTGACGTATCATGACGTATCAAATGGAGACTTCAGGCCCGTTCCCGGACATCTCGCAGCTGCTTAACTTTTGCCCCAGTGTAAAATAGTATAATATAATATCATATAATATAATAAAGCCAGGTTCCTGAGAGCCAGCGGAGATGTGGCGGCTTCGGGGCTTGGTGCTTGGACTCTTCTCCGAAGCATCTGGGGGACATAGAAATTCGCGGGACGGCTTCAGTTTAGGGTTTAGGGTTCTCGGGCACATGCTGTCAATGCACGAAGTCCGTGGCCTGCATTATGTACTTCGTTTGAAGGCCGCTCAGTGGCCTAGGGCCCACGTGGCTAAGTCGCATTGTCATTTTTGGAGCCAGGTGTCCTCCATGCAAAAAGCCTAGGTGGCAATTTGGGACTTGGGAAACTTTTTAATTTTCCCTTATGGTTCCGATAGAGGTACCTATTCATAAATACTTTTCAGAGCCCCGAAACTACAACCCAGAAGCATGCTGTTCTGGCTCCATTGTCCAAGGTGCAACACGAGCTCGAAGAGGATCGATCGAAGCTCGTGGGAAAAGTCAAAGGTCCCCTGCTTGAAGTAGACAAAGGGCCTAGTAGTACCCTTATTCCCTTTTTGTAGTCCTAGGTTCCTTGTAAAGTTACCCAATACCAAAAAGAGAGGCCTTTTTTTTCTTAGGTTACTGGGTATCCTAGCTTCGCTGTTTTGCTCCCAACTGAGTAGGGAGTAACTTAGGTACTGCCCCCATACAGTAAGAGTCTAGAATAGTAGACGGCGACTATTAAGGTCCTAATATATCTAGATTATGAATATTATTCAACTATTACTGAGTGGGGGCCGTACCCAAGGAGTAACTCCCATTCTGCCACCGCCGCCGCTGCGCGCGCTCCAGAAATGTCTCTGCTTGCGTTACTGCTACTGTTGACTACTGCCTTCTACTACTGCTACTGCTATTTCTACTACCACCACCACCACCACCACGACTCCTACTTCCAGCAGCTGACCACCATAATTACCACCACAACTACTACTGGGAGTCCTACCTATTAATTAACCTACTACGCGTACTTACTGCAGCTTCCGACTGCTTCCTACCTGTTACTACGTACCAGATACCACTCACTGCATACTGCCTACAACCCGCTACTTACGTCGTGTTAAGTACAACGATACAAGCGTCAAATCAAACATCACCACTACTCTTTCCGCACGTATCAACGAGACAGTGGCTGGGGTCGGCTAGTTGCTACAAGAACCAGGAGGACTGCACAAACTCTAGAAATCAAGCAAAACAAACAAATGGTAGAGTCGAAGAAATCGGAACTTGAATGATGAATTTGCGTATTGTCACTACCAGTAGCAGTGGCACCAAGCAAAGATTTCCGAAATCGCAACCGCTTCATTCGCACCAGAGCGAAAGGCAGCAGCGGTCTTGCCGCCTGTGCAGTTGATTACAACAGCACCAGTGCATGAACTACCGGCATTTCCAGAGCGGTTCTCGATGCCCGGTTATGGAACCGTTTGGCAGCAGCAGAGGGGTGATGGCACGACTGACGTCGCTGAGCCCTCCAGCGAATACTAGCAGAAAGTAATGTCTGAAACTCTAATAAGCAATCGGCAGTATTCTTATCAAGATAGCAAGCCTTCTCTCTGTCATCGGGAAGATTGTGATTTGGCAGTTTTCCGAACAAGCAGCGCAAATAAAAGCATCCTGAGGTCTCTTCCCCAGCTACCCATAACAGAAAGAAGCTCTCTTCGTGCTTCGAGGTGTGGACGGAGTGGTTGAGATTCTCAAACCCAAGTACGAGTGCAGGAGGCCACTACCTCGCTTTCTTCTGGAGGTGTAGGGCTTGGGTTTCACAGTCCCCGCCCCCCAGTGCTTGAGGTGTGCTGTTCCACGACGTGCCATGTCCATAAGGAACAAGGAAACTTTTGAGGATAGTGGCGATGATCGGAATACCACGTTCGCCACAATGGTGGTAGTGGTGATGGCTCCGCCCATGGCCCGCATCTAGGCCGTGGCCACGATGACCCTGGCGATAATAGTTCGATGATGATGATGATTGATTGATGATGATGATGATGATGATGATCATGAAAGGCGAACGATGATTACCATTACCTATGCTTCCTAGAGTTCCCTCCATGCTCGCCCAGGGGAGACCGATACCGCGTAATCGGGGACCACGGCGGCCCTGCGGGGATGTGGCGTCTGGAAGGTGGAAAGCCGGAGACTCAATAAGCGAGCAGTGCCGGATGTCACAACTGCATGTCTAAAACACTCAAGCTGAAACCCGCGAATACTTGCAATTACCCCTCAACCCAAACCCCTCACTTGTTCCGAGGGCCCGATCTTGAGCTAAGGAATCCGTGTTTGAGGGAGTGATGTTGAAGTCTTTTCAGCACCAGCGGGCCTTCGACCAAGGACCGTGCCAAAGACGCATGTAAAGGAAGGAGGCTGGAAATGGGCTCGGACCTTAGATGAAGTCGAGCTTGTTCGTTTCTGAATGCTCAAGGCATGACTTCGTCGACAGGCTTGACAAAGGGCTCATTCTGAATGACTGCGAAGTGTGTCAGTTGCCTTCTCCGATCCGAAACATCCGACACGTTACCCTGAACCCTAAACCCCTAAAGGTCGGAGGGAAAAAAAGCCCTAAACCCCTCCTTGCCGAGGAGGACGGAAAAAAGGGAACCTGAAGCCTTTGATGGATCATAATTACAACCCACTATAACCCTATGACCCTATATTCTATCCCTATAACCCTATAACCCTACAGCCCTACAGCCCTTAATTGATGGATCCGAAGGTGCTCGAGGAGCCCGAGCCGGAGGCGAAGGCGGCAAAGCCCATTCCGGTGCAGACCACTCCGGTGGCGACCTTTACGCCCAAGGAGCGGGATGCAGAGCGGTTTAGGGTTTAGGGTTTAGGGAAGGGGTTCAGGATAGTTTCAGTTGCCTACAACCCTCTAAGGAACTTTTGTGAAGGTAGTGAGGATTGGTAGATGCAGGCTTCGCTGCGCTGATGACCGGCCGAGAGCGCAGACGAGATCGCAGAGTTGCGAGTACGATCTCTGGTGTCTGTGGGTGATCAAAGGGGAAGAGGAGGGACCCTTGATAGGAACCCTTACCCTATAATGGGCTGTATAATGGGTATATAATAGCCATATTAAGGGTATATACCTAGGGCACGCAATTTCGCAGGGTGTTCGTTGTCGATCGCCTCACCGGGCCTGCAGCTCTGAAAAGCGATGTATAGCCTTTGCCGAACTCTGACCTCAATCAGCCTGTCATAAGGTAGATATAGGCTACAGCAGTGGAGGCTCCGGTTCGGAACCACGCACATGACAGCCCAGAAGCAGATTCGCATCCGCACGGCAGGAGCACAAACAGCTGCAGGAGGACTTGCAGCTTAGTGGATCCCAACTAGGGCGGTTCAGCCTACCAGGTGTGCGGGGTATCGGCGCGAGGGCGGGTTATGAAGCTGCAATGTGCGGATTCTTGTTGCCTAAACAGTCCTACCAGAGGAGCCCTCTACCGAAGACGAGAAGCGTGCTGAGCTCAGTAGTGAAGTCTCAGGGTTTGCAGTGCAATTCACTTCATTACCACGAAGAGCATGACGTCAGAGGCACTGAAGACGCGAGGATGATGCACTCTGTTAACACATGGGGGCTTGGCCAGGAGAAAAGCCAAAGCCAAAGAAGAAGAAAGCTGTGTCGTGACCTCGGACAGTAGCAATCATGCACAAGATGCCAATTCCTAGAAACCGAACACCAATGTAAGTCTCGTGCAAAGTAGCATTGATAGAATATCTTAAGATCCAAGCCGTGTACTCGAGAACGGGCCAGAGTTCGTGACTATTTGACACTACCCAGCCTGAGGGTCGAAACCCTGGAACACAGTCATACTCTCCGCTGCAATCTCTCTCTGATAACCTGTTCTGTATGTTTTAATCCTACAATGATACAACACCAAAAGAAATGTAAACAACAGCAAACTACATATAGATACTTGCAAGACACCCTGCCTGACCTTCGGACGCAACGGATCGGCAGGGGTTGGGCCAAAGGTAATTAGGAGAAGTGCGCGAGAGCGGTTGCCGTTTGGGGTTCAGGTTTGAGCCCTGGACGTTTGCTGGTTGTTTGTTGCCAGTAGGTCCGAACGAACGAAAAGCACTCACGGGCGACAAAGGTAATCAGCATATTATTGCACTCGGAGTAATGAAAAGCATCATAAACACGCTAATGTCTCAATGTCGAGTCGTAGGATTCTCATCAAGAATCAGGTTTGAGCAACATTTCGACAGGCAAGAGATCTTGCATGCAGCTTCCTGAGACGTGCAGTGTTGCCTAAACGTTTAGCGAGACATACGGGTGCGGACGGTTTCTGAGCATAATGCGCGAAGGCCTGCACAAAGCCGAAAGAAAGCTGCGAAGAAGGCAGTCGTGAAGTCCGGACGACCGTACATTGACTGCCGAAGAAGACGAGCCTAGCTCCCGTGCTGATCGTAGTTCTGCTCTGCACTAGATTCGGAAAATTGCACCGGCGACAGCGAAAACTGATGTTTCGATTTCTTGCATCCCAGTACCGCATGTTTTTTTGTTTCCGACAGGATGAAAGTGAAAGCGATGAGGATGAAGAGAGTGAGAGAAAGCCGAAAGTTAGCAAAAAGCGTGCTGCGAGCCGCGGCCCAAGATTGCGAGTTCGGTGCTTGTTTGTTGGTTTTTTGGGGACCTGTTCCGGCCGTATGTCGCGGCATAGTCAGCGCATCAGGCACGGGGAAGCGGAAGCAAGCATCCGCAAGTGATGAAGATGAGGAGATCCCTGTGTACTCCTATGTTACGAACACTTCCTGACTGGGAATGCATGTTTTTTTTGCTGGGGCCTGCAATCAGGACAGTCGCGAGGATGACTCCAGAGAAACCGCAAGAAGCCGTAAGAAGGTAAGCAAAGGCTTGGGCGTCTTCTCAGGATCTGTCCCCGACAGCTGCAACACGATTGAGGATAGCATCCGGGAACGGAAGAGACTCTCGCTGCTGTAAAGAAGTAGACTGTTGGAAGTAGAATACTTCTCGGAGGAATCTGTTCCTTCCGGTTTGGGGATGAATTTAATGTTCCGGGAATATTTTGCTAGGAGTCGTGTTTATGCAGCACTTAAATGTGACAACCGCAATAAACTCGCAATGATGTTTAATTTCAAGTGTGATATGTCCGTTCATATGGGAGTTTCCGAAAATAGGGGACCCTAATATAGTACCCTAAATAGTAGGATCCTTATTATAAGGACCCCGAATAAGGTACCCATAATTCTCGGAAACTCCCATATAGTAGTTACAGCAGGGCCAGCTCCGAGCAGTATCGTCCAAACAGTGCGGGTAACAAAGCCTGTCAATAGAGCACCACCGCTGTAGACACTTTTTTATGATTGCCTTTCCATCTCTACATAGATGTTTGCATCGCCCAGCTCCAATGCCTCAACCCTCCACTAGCGGAAGGCTTCAATCAGTTTCACACCGACTACGCCTGATGGACCTCGCCTGGATCGTCCTAGTTGTGAGTGTGTAAACCCTCCTGTCGCCGCACCAGTACTACAGGGGCCTAGAGAATTACATATACTATTTTGGGGGATGCCGTATTATTACATGTATAATAAAATGGGCACCAAAACCCTGTTCTAATTACTACGGCCCTCATATTATCCTCGCCAGTTGTTTGACTTCGGAAACCACAGCTCGCTGCACGTATAATTTCCCAGCATGTTCCAAGAGACCTCATCCGCCAATTCCAAGTTGTGAGGGCATAAACCCTCAGCATTGGCGCAAATCCCAGCACAACATTCTGCAGGCCAACAAAGCGCTGGCCGGGTCAAAGTCAGGAAGCGCAAAGTCCGCAGAAAACCTGCGGAGGACGGTTAGAGTGAGAATCAGATCTGCAGGGCTTTTAGGGTTTATGGTATTTTATGGTGCTAGGAGTTCTGTTGTGTTATTACATGTTATTCCTGTCGGTCAGTATTATTATGCTCCTCTCAAAATCAGCAACATCAACAGTAGCAGCAGCATCTTCCTTGGGCCGATCCAGCAGAAGCCGCACAGGTACAAACCCAAAAGGACCGAAAGAGTTGGCGCAGGACAGCCGAGACGAAGACAGCCGGTCAGACAGCCGACAAGGCCCGCGGCGTTGTCGGCCGTTGAGTTCGAATATAAGGGCTTTAAAAAGAACCAATACTATGTTGGATTATTTTGGGGCTCCCTATTACAGTTATAGTATGATGGTCCCCAAAACCCTATTGTAATTTTCAAGGCTCCTTTATTAGTGACACTCGGTGGGTTTCTCTCAGAGCATGCGCAAAGGCTGGAGACAACCTTTCGCCAACAAACGTGCAGACGTCACAGCAAATGGCAAAGCTATGCCTCTTCCAGTGGACATTAGTCAGTTCATGCTCGTGAAACATGGTTGACCAAGAAGGACGTACCTGGCATGGGCTCGGCGAGATACATCCAGGCCTGTCTCCATCTGACCTCCAGTCATGCCAGGCGGCCGAGGCGGTCGGAGATAGTAGAGCTCAAAACTACCCAAAGACTGCGAGAAGATGAGAAAAGATAGCCAGAGCCAATGCCTGCTGACGACGGCAACTCCAACTCCGGGACAGCCATTTGGGCAGATGATGTGCTGTAGTTCTCTAGGGTTAGTTTCGAAACATACAGAGTCGTATATATATAAATGAGTCGGATAAGGAGATTATTCCGTGGGAGTTGAAGGAATGATAATGAGGAATTAGATAGATATAGATATATCGTTCACTATATATCCATCCTAGACGTGGCGAGAATGGGGTACGGATTCATCGTAGTTTCTGATTTATGGGAGAATTTAGATGTATAATATCTTCAATGTCTATGTGCCAAGAAGTCTGTACTTGTCCTTAGAATAGGATGAGGATATGGGATTGTATAATAACTTCGTGTTGCTGAGTTTAGTCTTCCGTGTTGGGTGCTGATGGGTTTTCCGTGGAAAAAAACGATAAGAAGAAAATACAATTGCAAGAAAATATAATGAAACGGTAACGCATTTTTCGTAATAAAACGATAAGAAGAAGATAAAACGACAATATTATTCAGGAATAAGGATTATTTCTACGGTATTATTATATAACCCTGTATATCATGCCAGATTATTTCTATATATTTATGCATAAGATTTCTAATATTCATCTTGGGACTCTTAATCAAAGTTGAAATAGAATATGATCCGAAATCTTATTAGTGGGTTCACTTAGTAAGGGCAAGATCGATAAGTAGATTTTTCCGACGGGATTGAGGAAAATTGAGAGGTATGGATATATAATATTTTAATACTAGAGTGGACCCGCTGCTTCCAGCAGCGAGGAAAGGTGGCGGTAGAGTCTTGTGGACGTGCAGCAACACTCAATATCGCAGGACTTCGTGGCAAACAATATTCTGAGTGAAGGCAGCTTTAACGCGGCCATCGGCAGACATCACGAAGCCTTGGCCTTCGCCGGTTTCCAACAGCACACGCATGCTATTAGCATCACGGACACGTGAAAGAGATACATAGGGCATCCACGTCAACGAACTGCAGCTAAGCCTATTGAAATATTTATTCGAATGTCTGCGATGAAAAGGCCAAGGCGAGGACCTTGCGAGAATGATTTTGTCGCATCCTCGCGCCAATGACCTGCAGGACGAATCATAGGCCAAGAACAACAAACATGAAGATATTCGGCCAGCCTTCAAAGAAGCGAAGCGGACATAACGACCACGTGCATTCATATAATATCATAAAGAAACATATCTTGATGAAATAGAACCGATTCATATATGGTTCGCATATTCTGCCATACAACAAGCATAAAGTTAGCTCGGCTCGTGGCTTAGACGGCATATAGATTAACATGCTCGACTGAATTGACGCCCGAAACCTATCGAAATATATTCAATCATGTGTGTGGCAAGAGCCGGAAGCCAACGGAAGAAGTGCGCAGCA